TTATAACAAATCATATAGTCATACCAAATCTATCTTAATAACATTTTATAAATGTAATATCAAAAAAGAAAAGAAATAAATCTTTATATATTCGTTATTTTCTAAAATTCTAAATATTCTATTATTGTATTTTATTATCTAACCATTGGTAGAAAAGGTCCCAAATTTTATAAAATTGTTTATCCTCTTGTTCTCTATTTTCAAATGTCAATCTACTCATTTCAGCACATTCCAATATTTTCTTAATAATTTCTTCCTGCAATGGTATTTTCTCATTTTTCCAGTTTTTAGCAAATACAATCCTAGCCGCTGTTAATACATTTACAATCAGGTATTTCAAATCTTTACTATATGTATCAGGTAAGATTCCCAATAAAAAGATCTCTGGTTTCAAGTCTATGTGTTTCTTTGTCATTTTTTCCAACCACATGCGAATTTTAGTCCAGTATTTTCTAGCGTCCTCACAAGTCCACCACATATGGTAATATGAGCCAGGTATCTGATGACATTTCCAGCATTTTTCAGATTTATTCTTGAACATTTTTGCTATTCTTGTCAGGGGAAAGTGCCACCTGTAAAACATCTTGTACAAATTTTCTTTATAAGCTGTTGACATAGTCATTTTATAATTTTGAGACCACAATTTTTCTCTGCCTGATGAGTAACTGCAATGCTTGGAAATACAGTTTTCACTATGTTTAAAAACATCTCACTGTGTTCTGTATGTAAAATGTGATTGCAGAAAACATGCTCCTTTATTTCTAGAGAGACTTTCTTAAGGCTACCATATCTGAATTGCAGAAATGCAGAATGACCACTAGAGATGGCTGTGGAGTAAAAAAAAACCACTAACTTGTTGCTGCCATCTAGTGACTCTTCTGGATTTCTGTGGCTTTTTTCTTCCAAATCTTGTAGAACCCTAGCTTGTATGACTTTTGATTTTCTAGAAGAATAAATACATTTATTAAATAAAGGCATTTATAAAACACTTTGACCCCTTTGGGGTCTAAGCAATTTATAATGTATATAATAAAATGTAGTAATAATAACACAATATGTAGAAATTATATGTAACTTATATAATAAAAAGAATAATCCTAATAATAAAATAATAGAAAATCGAACCCCATAGAACAGTACTAAAAGCTAAAAATAAACTTACATTCTAGAAGATGGAGTAATAAAACCTCTCTCTCTCTCTCTCTCTCTCTCTCTCTCTCTCTCTCTCTGTGTGTGTGTGTGTGTGTGTGTGTGTGTGTGTGTGTGTATTTATATAAAGATAGAGTATGACGGTACTGTGGGGCAAGATGCAGGTAGTCAGGAGGTGGGGGAATACACCTTGCAGCCCACATTAAAATTTCAAGAATAAGTGTTCCTTTTCTTGCTGTAGAAAGAGAACAGAACAAGCTACAAACATGATAAGAAAGGGTGATGGATAAAAGGCAGATATTCTAAATTTTGACTTAGTGTGGGTAAATTCAGTTGAAAAATCAGAAGGTTTTGGCCACTCACATGACTAAAGTCACCACATTCCTCTGTCTCCACAATCTTGATTCTGCGTAGTTTACTTGCTTCCTTTCCTTCCAAGCAAACTATACACCTGGAAAAAAATATCTGCTTTCTTTCTTGTTACAAGATAGTGCAGGTGACCTGCAATAAGCAGAAATCACTTTCTTTTTTGGAGTACAACTCTGGAGTACAGCTAGTTAAATAGGGAGTTCTAAGACAGCCAGCAAAGAATTATCACAGGATACACTGCCAGATACTGATCTAAATTAACATTTGCTGGATCAGCAAGCTAAAAATACTTCCTCTCACTCTGCTGGGCACTTTAGACTATTATAAGAGCAATTGTCAAGGGGCTGGTGGGGGGAATATAAGAACATAAAGGGTTTGCTGGCAGCTTGCCCTTTCTCTTTACAAGGTGCTGATGTAGTTTGTGTTACTTTCAGTTACAGGCTGTAGTCGAAGCATCCTGGACAGACATGCATGTGCCCACAAATGGGGATGGAGATCACCAAGGCTGCTCTAATGTGCCCCAAAATGCATGCCTGCAAAGTGACAGAGAATATGAAGAAAACAATAAGTCTCATCTAAAAATAAGACTTCTACCTGTTTTTTTACCACTCCATCTTGAAAGACATGTTTTAGAGGCCTGGTCTAGGGCTTTCAAAGAAATAAATGCTTCCTTACTTTCATAGCTCATCTGCTGCTGATAATTACCGGTTGTCCTCGACTTACAATAGTTCATTTACTGACCGTTCAAAGTTACAGCAGCACTGAACAAAATGACTTATAACCGTTTTTCACAGTTACAACCTTTGCAGCATCCCCATGGTCATGTGATCAAAATTCAGAGGCTTGGCAAGTGGTCCATATTTATGACGGTCGCGATGTCCTAGGGTCATGTGATCACCTTTTGCAACCTTCTGACAAGCAAAGCCAGTGGGGGGAGGAGCCAGATTCACTTAACAACTGAGTTACCAACTTAATAAACCTCAGTGATTCACTTAACAATTGTGGCAAGAAATGTTGTAGAATGGGGCAGAACTCACTTAATAAATGTCTCACTTGACAAAAGTAATTTAGGGCTCAATTGTGGTCGTAAGTCAAGAACTGCCTGTATTCTGATATTAAAGCTAGGTTTGAACCTTTGCTCTTAATTTGTCTCCTGCCTCCATTTTATCTTGACTCCTCCTAAATCTCTACAGAGTGACCACCATCTTGATTTACATGACTCTGTAGCTCTTATTAGTGAAAGGAAATCTCTCCTGCCCCTCTTCCCTTCCGTGATTTCTTCTTTAAGAGGAACCAGGTATACCCAGCACTCCCAACTAGAACTACAGTGCAAGTCATTGTGCACACTGTCAGCCCCTGCTCCAGGATCCTTAGCAACAACCAGAGAAAATACTGCACTGAAAGGTGCTTCATGGAAAAGAACAATTTTGTAAAGCTTAGGGTCACTCTCAGCTTTTGGATGCTGAGGTGAACCATAAAAAGGTGATGAGGCCAGTACAGGAATTCCGTTCAATTTACATTTACTTGTGACTAGATTTAATTCTCATTTCAATCCAGGCTTAACTTTATAATTATCCTGTTCAGAAGTATTTTAAAAAAATTAAAATTCAATAGCAACTTTTGGAAATCTCTTGATAGTCACATCAAAAGCTTTGGGTGCTGTGCATGATCCAGGGAGAACCCAGTGATAAATCTGTGCTTTAAGATCTTTGGACTGGGAGATGGCATGCGTATTCATGGATGTAAATGCATACCGACAGATATGTACATGCACACTCAAGCAACTTGGTGTGTGTAAAGGTTTGGCCTTATCTTACACATAGTGCATTTCTATTATGGAACCTTGATCTGAGTTTCAAGTCAGAATGCTTCATATAGTTGCAGAAGAAGGGCTGTTACTGACTTCAGCACCCTTCACAATATGTTGTCATCTTTGTTTTGTTGATAATAAGTCAAAGGACAGGTTGGAGAAAAGGCATCCCAGAAAGAGTACTTCAAAGAACAGTTCATTTGGAAAGTCTCTTCCAACTCTGTTAGGCTGGAAATATATTTCTGTGGCAACATCACCTTGTAAAGTGGTAGAGGGGTAGAGTTGACCCAGAGCAATGCTTATTGCTGGGGAAGGTGTGTGTGTTGCACTAAAGTATTGTGTACAGATTTGCTATGCTATATTGTGTCAATCAAACAGAATAGATCTAGAAAGGACCTTTAACATCTTCTAGTCCAATCCCCTTCTCAAGCAGGAGATCCTAAACCATTTCAGATAGGTGGCTGTCCAGTCTCTTCTTAAAAACCTCCAGTTATGAAGCATCTATAACTTCTGGAGGCCAGCTGTTCCACTGGTTAATTGTCCTCACTGTTAGGAAGTTTCTCCTTAACTCCAGGTTGCTCCTCTCCTTGATTAGTTTCCATCCATTGTTTCTTGTCCTGCCCTCTGGTGCTTTGGAAAGTAAGTTGACCCATTCCCTCTCTTTGTGGCAGCCTCTCAAATACTAAAATACTGCTAGCATGTCCCTCCTAGTCCTTCTTTTCTCTAGATTGGCCAAATCCAAATCCTGTAATCGTTCTTCATATGTTTTAGTCTCCAGGCCTTTAATCATCTTAGTTGCTCTTCCCTGCACTTTTTCCAAAGTCTCAACATTATTATTATTTTTTTGGTGATGTGGTGGCCAAAAGTGGATGCGGTATTCCAGGTGTGGCCTTATTAAGACTTTATAAAGTGGTACTAATACTTCACATGATTTTGATTCTATGCTTCTATTTATACAACCAAGGATTGTGTTTGTGTCTAGTCCTTGGAAAACAACCCTCGTAGGTAAAAGTTACATCGTGATGGTATATTTTTGACATTTTATCTGATCCTGCATGCTGAATTGCAGAATTCAGGAAAAAAGCCCAAGGCTAATTGAGCTTTGGGCCATAATGCAGTACATATTGAGATCTTTTGGGAGGTCTCATCTGTCATTCACTCTCAAAAGACAGTAACATATGTCTAAGCTACGCAAGTAGTCCTCAACCTATGGCCACAATTGAGCCCAAAATTTCTGTTACTAAGTGAGACATTTGTTAAGTGAACTTCACCCCATTTTGCGATCTTTCTTGCCACAGTTGTTAAGTTAGTAACACGATTGTTAAATGAATCTGGCTTCCCCTTTGATTTTGCTTGTCAGAAGGTTGCAAAAAGTGATCTCATGACCGCGGAATACTGCAACCGTCATAAAAATGAATCTCTTGTCAAGTGTCCAAATTTTGATCACATGACCATAAAGATGCTGCAATGGTCATAAGAGTCAAAAATGGTCGTAAGTCACTTTTTTCCAGTGCCGTGGTAACTTCAAACAACCACTAAATCACTGTTGTAAGTTGAGGACTACCTGCATTGCTTAGGCATGAAGATTCATTTATTCCCTGCAGTTCAAGCCTCATAGTCTGACTTATATTCCAACATCTAAACCTTGCATTTCCTCTTGTGTTCTGTTTAGTTTCCGTATGCAGCACCTCCTCCCCAGGAGCCGGTGAAAACTTTAAGGAGCCTGATCAACATCCGCAAAGACACACTGCGTTTAGTCAAGTAAGTCGGTGGTTTCAGAACAGGGATTTGTTCTGCACTTTGAACCTTTAACTCAATCAAAGCAGGGGGAAAAAATACCCCAACAAAGAGAACTGCCTAGCATTAAGATGACTTAGTGAATGGGACTTCCTGTGGCTTAAGGCTTTTTGAAGGGAACTTGTTTGCTTGAATGGGCTTGCCTAGGAGCCGCGGAAGAGAATACAAAGTTAGACCAGACAGGGGTGTGATGGGATAGCTACAGATTTGCTACTCTCCAGTCCAGCCTTTCTCTCAGCCTTGTTTTTTTCCAGATGTCAATCCCATAATTCCAAGCCACCTTGGTTGTGCTAGCTGGGAATTCAAAGAATTATCACCTCAGCACTTCTCAAAGGCCCAAGTTGGAAAAGCTAATCCAGGTCAACATTGGCTTTCCAAGGATTTTATCTCCCCAGCTCAGCTTTCTTAAAGCCTGGGTGGAATCACAAGGAAATGACCTGGGACTTTCTCCAGGAAAAGCAGAACATACATTGGCAAAGATTACTTGGCCTAATTAACTTGAAACTTTGATATATGTATAAATTTAAATATATTGCTGGACCAAATTCCCTTGCCTAGTACAATAGCATGGCTGGTGTACAGTATATGGCATGTCCTTTTAGCTATTTCTCTGGAACAATGCTGTTTCTCCTCTATTTAGATGACATGGGGCTGGGGTTGTTGTTTTTTACTTTCCAAATTTGGGTTAAGGAAAAAAAACATAGAATTATAGGACCAGAAAGGACCTTGGTTGTTTTTTAGTCCAACTGCTGCGTAAGGCAGGGGACTTTATACCATTTCAGACAAATAGTTATCCACTCTTTTTTGAAAATCTCCTGTGATGGATCATCCATACTTCTGTGATACAAGCTATTTCACTGACCAATTGTTCTCACTATCCAGAGGGAGTTTCAGGTTGGATCTCCCTCTGATAAGGTTCCACCCATTGCCCCTTGTCCTGCCCTCAGGTGTTTTGGAGAATAAATTGACCCCTCTTCCCTGTTACAACCCTTCAACTAAATGGCTATCATATCACCTCTAGGCTTTCTCTTTGTTAGGATAAGAATTCCTAGTTTCCCTTACATGTTCATTGTATGATTTAGCCTCCAGACCCTCTTGTCATTTTTGTTGCTCTTCTCTGCATTCTTTCTAGGGCCTCAGCATCTTTTTTGTATTGGGGTGACCAGAACTGGATGAAGTATTCCAAGCAAGGCCTTATTAGTGCAACATAGAGCAGTACTATCACTTCTTGTGATCTTCATGCTAACCTCTGTTGATGCTATCTAGGATTGCATTGGCTTTTTTGCCAGCTGCAGCACACTGCTGGCTCATACTTAAGTAGTGGTCCACTAGGACACCTAGATCCCTCTCACAGTTACTACCGTTGAGCCAAGTATTGCCTATTTTGTATCTGTGTATTTGGTTTTTCCTGCCTAAGGGCAGTATCTTACTTTTCTCACTACTGAATTGCATCTGGATGGATAGGACCCAATGCTCAAACCTGTCAAGATCCTTCTGATTCTTGTGTCAACTGGTCATTTATGAAAATGTTGAAGAGCATTGAGCCGAATACAGAACTTTGAGGTACCCCATTATGTGCTTCCTTCCATCAGACATAGTTCCATTGAAGACTTTACGTTGAGTGCAGTTGGTGAACCAACTGTAAATCCATCTGCTAGTAATACTGTCTGTCCCACATTGTTCTATCTAAGGACCAGACTATGGTCTACTTTATCATATGCCTTAGTGAGGCCTAAGTATACTATATCCACAGCATTTCCTTGGTCCACTGATTTAGTCACTTTATCAAAGAAAACAATAAGGTTTGTTTGACATGATCTGCTTTTAACAAACCCATGCTGGCTTCTAGTAATCACCTTATTTATTTCTAGTTCATTCTTATCCTGCTTATCCACTGCTTGATTGTCTTTTCCAAGATTTTATCAGGTGTTGACGTCAAGCAGATTGGTCTATAGTTTCCTGAATCCACTTTTCCTTCCTTTTGAAATATTGGAACCACATCTTTTGCAGCCCTCTGGCCGTTTCCCAGGAGTCTGAATTTGCTCAGTTACCCATGCCTATGGTGAATTCTAGTGTGACATGGTCACTCTCCCCCAAAGTTCCTACAACTCTATTCCCTCAACCACTTCATCCTTACTTATAAGAAGTAACTTCAGTGTAGCTGACCCTCTAATTCCCTCCTCCACTTTTGGATGACAAAATTATCAGCTAGACATCTGAGGAACCTCCTTGAACTCCCACTCGCTGCTGTACACAGAGTGGGATTCTACTGCTTTGGACCGGTTCGGTCCAAACATCTGGTTCACCAAACCGGTAGTTGAACCAACCGGCTTGCCCCGCCCCTCCCTCCCCTCCCCACCCAGGAATCCCCACGAAGCCCATTTTGGATGCATGTAAGTGCAGGGTCCGCGTGGAGGCTCTGGGAGGGCAAAAAACGGTTCGAAATGGAAATCCAGAAATGGGCCTGTTTCCAGCTTCCGGAGGCCGGAGGAGGCTGTTTTCGCCCTCCAGAGGCCTGAAGGAAGCCTCCAGATCCTGGGAAAGGTGAAAAATAGCCAAACCAGAAGTTCCAGAAGTTCTGGCTTCTAGAGGCCCTCCAAAGCCCGGGGGAGGCCGTTTTCACCCTCTCAGAGGCCCAAGGAAAGCCTTCGGACCCCGGGAAAGGCAAAAATATGGCCACGCCCACCCAGCAATCGGGCAGCGAACCGGTTGAAGGGTTTTTTTAATCCCACCCCTGGCTGTAGAGTTTGTTTCCCAGTTGATAACAAGATAGTTAAAGTCCCCCATTTCTACAGTGGTATATTTCCTGCACATCTCAACCATACTCATCCAACTGTAGTATATACCCATAGCAATGTCATTTCTTTTTCCTTCCATATTCCCTCAAATACTTTCAAGAAGGCTTTCATCCATGGTATTGTGTATTTTTGTAGGAATAGAGTAATTGTTTATTATATTTCAACAGACAACAACATCTTTGCAGCTTAGATGCAATTACGTCAATAACACAGAACACAAATATGTCAGCAGATGCAAGCTTCTCTCTGACATATATTTATGTGAACCAGTTCTTGTCCTCTTCTGATTGCACTTGTGATTTAAACATTGAAGCTTCCTAGTTCTCATAAGACATGAAAATCAATGAGCAGAAATCCCCATTTTTGTGGATTTCTTTAATTGGGAGGTCTATCTATTCAATCTCATAGGCCAGCTGCTAATTGACAGTGTCATGTGCTTTAAGACTCTTGAAAGCTGGGTGGTATTTTTTGAACTTGACTTCAAAAAGTAAAGTGAGAATTAGCTCTGAATAACTACATGTACAGATGTTGCCTGTTGGAAGCAGTCCATCCGCTCTTGTGCAGCAGGGCGTATCCGTGTGTAGCTCCTTAAGATTAACACGGAGATTAAATGTGAACAATTCTGGGGAAGAATTTCTGCAAGCGTTGTGTAAAATGATTTGATCAGCTTCTTGTCTCTTTTTGGTCTTTATCTTTCCCGTCTGGCTTTCAGGATAACTACAGGTGACAATAGGATTTAAATAAAGTGAAATTCATTTTTGTTGCTAGGCTGGGATTAGAGGGGAATCAGTGCTAACAGTGTAGATCTGTGTGGAGGAGGGGAGAACTTCCTTAGTGGTCAATGGTCCTCACTTCAGTCCTGAGAACTAAGTTGTTGGATTCTGGATGTGGCATAACAGCAATTATGAGCAGGTCTCAGTATAAGATATTTTTCTACCAAGTTAATATGCCTTGATTTTAATTGCTAACTGCTGTTTATAACCCCCTGCCCGCCCCCGATCTAGAACTTGCATATGGTTGTACATGCAAGTGCATTCAGAAATGAAGTGTGTTTGAAGTATGGCTTAAAACAGGCATCCTTGCAATGGAAGCGATTTATATAATGTTTCTCTGTAAATGCACTGCCGGTGTATTCCTTTGGGTTACTCTGTTTTTGCAAAGGTAACAAGTCTGTTTGTCTCCAGAGAATCCAAACAATCGGCAAAGATGTAAAACATGCAAACGAGGCCTTCCTTGGTACTTGTTGTTTTCATCCTGCAATTCAGCAGTGTCAGTTTTCATTAAATCGGGTGGATAATCTTCAACTGTCACTTTCTCGGCAACGACCTGGAAGAATTTTATTATGCTAATGGACTAGCTTTCTGATTTCATATTCTTGTCCTTTATCTCTTCTGTTCTCATACTCAGGAGTCAGTGATTCTGGACAAAAGCTGTAATAACGTGGGACTTGAATGTTTTTGTGGAATTGGTTTATCACTTACAATGTTATTTTGTTCCCTTATAATCATTGGTGGCAATGTGAAAAGTCTGGCTGCAGGTAGTTCAGTCTTCATGGGAAATGACCAATGTGTTGATGTCCCTCACTCCTACCCACCCCAATCATAGTAGAGCCCAGCAAGGGAGGAGAACACATAATGTTGTCCTTAAGAGAAGAAAGAAAACATTGGGAAACTCCTGGCAGATAATAGGTAATCCTAGGTAATCCTGGCATTCTCTCATATTGATAAACAGCAGGTTAATGAGTATATAATAAAGATAAAATAAAAATATTTGGATTATTTATTGAGAAGAACTATTGAAAAAGTGGAAGAGGGATGCATACAGTACTTTGCTAGAAGACAGAGGGGCATGAAAACTGGCTGGTGACTTTGGCCAATCATTCTCTCTCAGCCCAATCCATCTGACAAAATTGTAGTTGTGGGGGAAAGAGGAAGGAGTGTTAGGTATGTTTGCCACCTTGAATTATTTAAAAAAACAATAAAGGTGGGATAATAAATAAAAAATTGTAGCCAATAGGTATAAGTATTAGCTGAAGTAAGCAATATAGTGACATATTTTTCTACCGAATCTCAGCATTGTGATTTCAACACATACTTTCAAAAGTATGGAAACATCACATAGGAATATTAAAGGCCTCCTTATATTTGCAACAATCACAGGCCTAGCAGGCTCTTTTCAGTTTTTATTATGAAGCTTCTTAGGTCGACTAGGAGATGCTGAAACTTCAACTCCCTGTACTTTCTGCATACAAAATAATAGGCTTTGCAGCTAATCTATGAGCTCACTGTCAGAGAGCAGCTCTTAAACTACCACTAGATATTTCTTCTGAAATAAAAAAAAGGACAAATCCTGGAATGTATAGGGGGAAAAATACCTACAAAAGCTTTGGATATAGAAACTCTTGGTGTACAGGTGAAACTCAAAACATTAGAATATCATGCAAAAGTTCATTTATTTCAGTAATGCAACTTAAAAGGTAAAACTAATATATGACATAGACTCATTACATGCAAAGCAAGATAGTTTCAAGCCGTGATTTGTCATAATTGTGATGATTATGGCTTGGAGCTCATGAAAACCCCAAATCCACAATCTTAGAAAATTAGAATATTACATGCAATCAATAAAACAAGGATTGTACATAGAACAATATCAGACCTCTGAAAAGTATAAGCACACATATGTACTCAGTACTTGGTTTGGGCCCCTTTTGCAGCAATTACTGCCTCAATGCGGCATGGCATGGAAGCGATCAGCCTGTGGTACTGTTGAGGTCTTATGGAAGACCAGGATGCTTCAATAGCGGCCTTCAACTCTTCTGCATTGTTTGGTCTCATGTCTCTCATCCTTCTCTTGGCAATGCCTCATAGATTCTCTGGGGTTTAGGTCAGGAGAGTTTGCTGGCCAATCAAGCACAGTAATCCCACGGTCATTGAACCAGGTTTTGGTGCTTTTGGCAGTGTGGACAGGTGCCAAGTCCTGCTGGAAAATGAAGTCAGCATCCCCATAAAGCTTGTCTGTGGAAGGAAGCATGAAGTGCTCCAAAATCTCCTGGTAGATGGCTGTGTTGACCCTGGACTTAATGAAGCACAGTGAACCAACACCAGCAGATGACATGGCTCCCCAAATCAACACAGACTGTGGAAACTTCACACTGGACTTCAAGCATCTTGCAGTGTGTGCCTCTCCATTCTTCCTCCAAACTCTGGGTCCTTGGTTTCCAAATGAGATGCAAAAGTTGCTCTCATCAGAAAAGAGGACTTTGGACCACTGAGCAACAGACCAGTTCTGTTTTTCTTTAGCTCAGGTAAGACGCTTCTGACATTGTTTGTTGTTCAGGAGCGGCTTGACAAGAGGAATACGACATTTGAAGCCCATGTCCAGGATCCGTCTGTGTGTGGTGGCTCTTGATGACTCCAGCCTCAGTCCACTCTTTGTGAAAGTCCCCAACACTTTTGAATGGCCTTTTCCTGACAATCCTCTCCAGGCTGCAGTCATCCCTGCTGCTTGTGCACCTTTTTCTTCCACACTTTTCCCTTCCACATAACTTTCTATTAATGTGCTTTGATACAGCACTTTGGGAACATCCAACTTCGTTTGCAATTACCTTTTGAGGCTTTCCCTCCTTATAGAGGGTGTCAATGATGGTTTTCTGCACAACTGTCAGGTCAGCAGTCTTTCCCATGATTGTGATTCCTACTGAACCAGACTGAGAGACCATTTAAAGGCTCAGGAACCCTTTGCAGGTGTTATGGCTTAATTAGCTGATTAGAGTGGGACACTTTGAGCCTAGAATATTGAACCTTTTCACAATATTCTAATTTTCTGAGATTGTGGATTTGGGGTTTTCATGAGCTGTAAGCCATAATCATCACAATTATGACAAATCACAGCTTGAACTATCCTGCATGTAATGAGTCTATGTCATATATTAGTTTCACCTTTTAAGTTGCATTACTGAAATATATGAACTTTTGCACGATATTCTAATTTTTCAAGTTTTACCTGTAGTCACCCAAAACCTGTGTCAATCCTGGATTCAAGAACCCTTTACTCTAAGTATGTCCCAATGAAGATAGTGAGATAGTAGTTCAAGAAAAGGCAATACCATTTCTTATGGTTATGGTCTAGAGCAGCACCCCCCAACCTTTTGAGCTCCAGGGACCAGTTCCGTGGAGAGAGGTTGTTCCATGGACCAGAAGGTGCGTGGTTTCAAGTGTTGCCTGCATCCTGCAAATGGGACTTTGCTTGTTTGGGTGGCCCGGTTTCTGGCATGCTGTGGATCAATGTCGGTTCAGGGACTGGAGGTTGGGGACCCCTGGTCTAGAACCAGGGTTAAGATATTTTAATGACATGGAACCTGTAGCTGTAGTTAGGGAAAATTGGCTAGATTTTAATGAACTTCAGTCTCTTACGAGACCTCATCAAGTTCTCATGGAACCCTCGGGTTCCAAGGAACAAAATTGAAAAAACACTGGCCTAGTATTTCTAAGAAACGATAGGCAATTGTTAACAATAGTAATAGCACTTAGACTTATATACTGCTTTATAGTGCTTTACAGCCCTCTCTAAGTGGTTTACAGAGTCAGCATATTGCCCCCAACAATTTGGGTTCTTATTTTACCCACCTCGGAAGGATGGAGGGCTGAGTCAACCTTGACCCAGTCAGGCTCAAACTCCTGGCAGTGAGCTGAATTAGCCTGCAATACTGCATTCTAACATGCACAATCATACTGTAGCACAATCATACTGTTGCAACTTCCAACCTGACACCTTTCAGATTTATTGGGATGACTACTCCCAGAAATCCCCAAATTACTCCTTAAAAAGTTGGATCTCCAGCATTTGTACAAAATGTATGGTTACTTTGTTCTGCTCTGTTAGATGCACAGAGGAAGTGAAGACTCCAGGCGAAGAAGTCAGCAAAGCGAAAGTCCAATACAACGTGGAATTCACATTTGATACAGATGCACGGGTGGCCATAACCATTTATTATCAAGCCACTGAAGAATTTCAGAATGGAGTGGTGAGGTAAATCAAAGGAGATCTGGGGAAAGGGATCATCTCATCGTTGCTATCATTGCTCATTGTTAGGAGGAAAAGTGGACAGGGCGGTCTGTTCAGGGAACTGCAGATTTGTAACCAAGATATATCCATACAAATTGCTCAGATGACCTCTGCTGTTTTATATCCAGTAAGTAGAGGACTAGAATATCTATTGTAGGAATGCAGGTAACTCCACAGCTAATTGCCTCCTAGCATCAAGTTGTAGGAAAGGTTTAAATTTCATCGGATATAAGAAAGCACTGTACCCTTGTGTTGACAGAGGGCAATTAGCTGCCTCAAACAGCTTCCTCCTAAGTATGCAATAGAGTTTGATCACGCCTGTTGGGTTCACTGTCTAGGTAGTTCTCCACCAAATTCAGCTCAATGAGATAGATGTATGTATGATAAGAAGCCTGCTCCTAGTAACTTCCATTTTGGTGTGTGATATTTGAAAAGAGTATCTTACATGCGATCACAACATCATTTTCCTTTTGGCCATATTTATAGGGAGAGTCTTAAGTTCAGAAATTGTGCTGAATGAATGGAGTTTGAAAAAATGTAAAAATTGACAGCAGAAAGGATAGACACTATCCTCTTAAACCTACGCGCTGCCTAAATGCATGGAAGTCCTTGTCTTTTATCCCTTAGAATAATGTTCCCTTAGAGTTCTGAGAAGTGAGTTCTCTCTAACCTGCTGATCATCATTGGGGGGGAAAAAGAGCCTTGCTTTAATATAACATGAAATTATAGGTGTCAATGGAATCTGCCACTCTATGAAGCTTCCCACTTCCGATGACAATGATGGCATTCTCTTGTAAAGGAATTGTGTTTTTCTCAGCACTGAAATACTGCAGATTGAGTAAAAGTGAAAATGATATTATTTTCCAAGATCGCTCTTTTGAGAAACACATTTTAACTCATGACGAGCAGCTGTACATTAGGTAAAATTAATCCATGTGCCAAGAATCAGACTATAGAAGGTCTTAAAATTCCCCAATATGTTTTGGATATATGATATAAAGTAAAGGAGCTCTATAATATCTTAAAAAAATCAACAATTATGTATAAAAAAATTAGAATTAACTTTACCCAATCTGAATGGCGTGTGCGTTTGCTTGTTGGTATCTGTGCACATGCATATACATACATGTAATATGCACACCACACATATCATAAAGAAAAATGAAAATAATTTCAGACAGAAAATAATACTGTTAAGGACAGTCCTCGCCGTGAAAATACTGAATTTTCAGATACTGAAAATAAAGGCAGTGATAGTAAACAAAATCCAATGTACAGCAATCAAAATATTCTACCGTTGGTAGTTAATTACCACTTGCACACAGCTGGCTTTGTCTAACAAAGCCTGGGGCATTAACACTGTGTTCCAGCATTGGGTGAAGAAATGAGATAAGGACCCATTAAAGAAGGAAGCTAGGAAGCCAGCCTCAAAAGGACTTCACATTTAGTTTTATCCTTTTAAAAAGAAATCCTGCAAAAATTAAGTCAATTTATCTCTCACTTTTGTTTCTATTCTGTGTTGTTACTTCTAGTAAAATTAAGGGCTTTAGCCAAGGGACTTGGCGCCACCCTCCCTGGATCTTTGATAGGGAACTGGGCACAAAATTCACACAAGTGACTCCCATGGACAGCTAAGATGAAATACATGGAGAAAGGGGAGACAGGCATCAGGCTCAGAAATAGGAAAGATTATACAGCTGACGGTACTGCTTATTGTCTTATCTCTTTGGAGAGTTGGAATGCTGGAGAAGAAATCAGCTAAGCAGAGGTTAATGGCCTTATTTGAAAAGGTGATCTCCAAGGTGCTTGTAACAAATATGTGCCTGAATTGTACTTTCATACTTTCCTGCCTTGTGTTGTGGCAGAATTTAGCCTAAAATGGGCTTTTGAGGGCCATATGCACCCTGAATTGGTTTGTGATACATGATCACTGCAGATTCTAAAAACAGTACTATTGTGGAAGTGTTCATGAGAGTCAGCTTACACTGAAATATGCTGATGTTACAAAAATGCAAACGGGTGTGTGTGTGTGTGTGTGTGTGTGTGTGTGTGTGTGTGTGTGTGTGTGCTCCTTATCAATCAGCATAGTTGGAAAACAAACGAAGCTTGCAGGTTGGATGGCCCTGAAAATAAGACCTCAGATGACTATTTTTCATTTGAAAAATTTATATTTTAATAAACACTATAGCAGCAAATTAAAGGAGGAGTAACACAAAAATGAAAATGTTATATTGATATCATGCCTGAAAGAAGAGCTCTTTTCTGGGTGATATCTGCATTAATTATATTAGTTTATGATAGCCAGTTCGGTGGAGTGGTTAAAAGTGCTGGTTAGAAGTTACGAGACAGAGTTCTAGTCTCGTCTTAGGCCCAGAAGACAGCTGCATGACTTTGGGCTAGTCATTGTCTCTCAGCCCTAGCAAGAAAAATTGGCAAGCTACTCCTGAAAAATGTTGCTAAGAAAATTCCAGAGACTTGTTTTTGTAACCACCAAGAATCAAGATTAACTGAAAGGCCAGTAACAACATTAATTGTTTAGGGATGAATTTTTTACACATCTTTCAAGGTCTTAGGGATTCTTCACAGCAGCATTGCAATTAAAATGATAAAACAACTGTATCAATAAAATATATTACAGGCAAGCAAAAATGATATATAACCTTATTGCTAGAACAAGACAATTTTTGAGTCAATCTAAAGGTGGCTTTAAATGCCACCAGAAGATGATGTTCGATATCTTGGAAGACTCTCTATAGATTGGGAAGATAAGAGCATTGTGTGAGGTTGTTCACTCTGGGTTATCCACTTTTTTCTTATAGTTATATCCCTAAGGAGAGCAGTTTACACTCCGAGACTGTTCATTATAAGCGAGGTGTATGCCAGCAGTTCTGTTTGCCTTCCCATAGTATTGATCCCTCAGAATGGGCTGAAGAAGAGGTAAGGAAGAAGCATGCTTCAAAGAAATTAATAGTGAGAAATTACCTTTTTTGAGCAATTATCCTATTAGATTCATATTTCCTCAGGGCCCGTGCATGCTTCACAAAATGGAGACCTTTATCTGGGAACAGAACCTACTGTATGACACTAATGGAGTAACACATGTATGTTTGTCTTTTTAAAAAGCAGAGTGTTTCCAGCGATTTCTTTCTAAATGAGTATTTCCCAGGGTGCCTGCATTTATAGTATTGCACACCTGTGGTAATCCTTGCTGGGCACATGAGTGGATTACTATAATTCTAGTGATGTTACCTGTATTTTACTTTCTAAGATCACTTGCCTTTTTACCTCAGGCCTCTCATTTTTTGCAGCTGAGCTTTGATCTGGACCGTGAAATTTATCCCATGGTGGTTCTTGCAGTGGTAGATGAGGGAGATGGTAAGGATGCTCTTAAGGATCATATTCATGGTTTATTTATTTGGTTATTCTATTTGGTATATAGTGTGCTTTTCTGTTCAAAGAAATGGTGAAAAGCAAGAGGTTTTTTTTTTAATTAAAATTGAAAATTTAATCCCTGAGCAAAAGCCTGCTAAAGAAGATACACCTTTACACATTGTCTTAATTTTGGGAGATGTTGGACAATGGATGTATTTCCTATGATGTATTTCATTGCCTGGGAGCATGGAAAAGAAGGCCAATGAATGCAGAGTCTTTTATTCCAGAACTTTCTGCACATTCCTTGTGTTCTGGGGTTGCTCCATCCATTAATCTGCCTGATGCAACATATGAGATCTCTTGTGCAACCCCCTGGAATGGGAATCATTTTGGATTTTTAAATTTATCTCAATTTGTGATAGTTGCGTCTGATATTCGGTGGAATTTTTAAAGAACAGGCATGACAGAATTTCTGTATTTTCTCCAGGCTAGCAGATTAGCTCTTGCATTTCGCATCAATTGCACTTCTAGGCATTCTCCAAAGAAAGCCCCACGTACAGTAGATTGCAATAATCAAAACAGGAGTCAATCAAGGCATGTAATAGCATTGCTGAATCTCTGGCTTAAGAAAGATTGTGCTAGTACACTAATTTTGACTGTGCAAATGTGCTTCCTGCCATAGACATCACCTACAAATCCAAGTGAAGATCAAGAAGTTCTCCCAAAACGTGAACCTACTCTGTCAGAGGGCTTGCATTCCTATCTGAACTAGGGTGTATCTCAATTTCTTATTCAGTTTCATACTTTACCAATAATACCTCCATTTTGTTTGGATTTAATTTTAGGATGTTCTCCTTCACCAACCTGTCACTGAACTGAACCAGCTACCAATTGCTTACTTGGAGCTTGCTGGAAGGAGCAAGTGAACTAAGTGTCAAATTATTAAATTTATTAAACTTAAAGGCTGTCCCTCTCACCGATAAAATGCATGCTAGTGACACCCATTTATACAGCTGCAGATGACTTCCTCCAGTGGTTTCATGTAGTTGTTGAATAGGATGTGTTTGAGGTTGGATCCTGTAAGATGTTGCCATCCTATCAGTCAAAGTACAAGACAATAAAACCTCAGCATCACTTTCTAGACTTAGAAAGGCTGGAACCACTGTAGAGCCCAATCTTCTCTGAAAGTTCAGAAAGAACACCATGGTCAATGTATCAAAAATTGGTTACAGATTCAGGAGAATTAATGGGATTAGTCTTCTCAGCCAGTTTCAAGTACAGGCCTTTCATTAAAAGATGAACAAAGCAATCTCAGTATCATATCCCCACTGAAAGCTAAATTGGAATGGGTGCAAATAATCAGCATCCTCCAGATGGTGATCGCATCGCGACAGGAAGCTGAATTGACATGTTTTGCAAGTTGCCACTGTACCTTCTAAAAATTACTGCCGATTAAATTAATTCTGTGTCCTGTTGAATATCATTAATAACTGAAACCCTTAGAAAGGCATCTGCAATGAACCATATATGTATATTTAATTACCCTGGTTATAATTGTGGTCAATTAAGACTACTGCTATTAAGGACAACCACAGGGGAGGAAATGTAGCAGTCTGCATCAATTTCTGGAAAAATTATGTATCATCCTGAACCTCAATTTTGACCTTGTCTTGCAGAGCATATGGGTCACTGTCATGTATTGCTGGCAACTTTTGAGAAGGTAAACATTCTGTTCTTGCTGATCCAATGTGCAAAATGCATGAACCTAAATTCCCATGTTGAATGTATGCAGGTTGAACCAATGTAATAAATGAAATAAAATATATAGTACAAGGTTAAAAATATATAATGAAGAAGAAGGGGAAGATAGCGAAACTACAGGGGTCTTTTTTGAGCAATGATAGTTTTGTAGAATAATGCTGGGTGAGTAAAAAATGGTCTGAGTTCAAAGGAGAGTGATTGTTAAATTTTGGAGGAAAAAAAGCAGGCATGATATGAATAGGAGACATTTTCTTTGTGGGCTATAATTGTGTTTTAGGGAGTGAGTTCTGTTTCATCACACCTATCCTCTAGAATTTCTTTTGATGGACTGTGATGTTGAAGACCACCTGAACATTTGTATTTCTTCCTCTCAGCATGCGGACGGCGGCTTTTGTGTGAAACCCCTCAAACAAAAGCAAGTGGTGAGTGTGCGGCTGGTGGGATCAGGTTCTCTGCTTTCCCGCACATACTAGTTCCTGCTACTTTTTAGGGAAAGCTTCTTGTGCAATGGCAAGGAATTTGATGGCCTTCCAGCCCATTTCCAACAGTATTGGTTGCAAAGAGCTTTTAACCAACCAGTGGATAGAAAGAAAGGTGGTCACCAATTCACTGTAAGCATTTTCCTCCTGTTATTGAAAAGTGCCCGTTCAGTTTAGATAATGCAGTTTTTCACAGGGAAAAATAAAACAGAAAGAAAAAAGTTGTTTCTGCAGTCTTTCTTTCTGGAGTTTCATATCCCCTTTTGACCCCTTACTTTCCCACGTAATTTCAGTGTTGGTGTTTTTTCTAGGTGGATGGAGTGAGCTATCTCCTTCAGGAAATTTATGGGATAGAAAACAAATATAACACACAGGATTCAAAGGTGAGAACTAGAGATAAAGGTGGAGAATAATGTACATGTTGTACACAATCTCAACCAGATTGTCTGGAAATGTGTATGTTAAAAACCTCCCTCCCTCCTTCCTCCCTCCCTCCTTCCCGAATTGAATTCACTGTGGACATGTGTTTGTAAGGACATGCATACCAGCAAGCTTTTCTAATTCAGGTGGCAGAGGATGAGGTGAGTGACAATAGTGCAGAGTGTGTAGTCTGCCTCTCCGACGTCCGAGACACCTTGATCTTACCCTGCCGCCATCTCTGTCTCTGCAACACTTGTGCCGACACCTTGCGCTATCAAGCTAACAATTGTCCCATCTGCAGATTGCGTAAGTCCTGATCTTTTTAAAAATTTTGAGATTGAGTATTCTCTGGAAGATCCTATGTTTGTTTGATCCTCTCACTTTGAGATATGAACTATTTGCCTACACCCGAGATAGGCTAAGATTATTTAATTTTTAACGACCATCAGAAGAGAAAGGATAGTGATCATATTTTACTTGTATTTTAGTGGTCACCGTCATCTATTACCTTGGTTGGTTTTGCACAGAAATTTGCAGCAGAATTTGAAATGTGTTTTATTTCTTTCTCCATCCCTCTCCCGTTTCTTCCTCACAGCATTTCGGGCCTTGCTACAGATCAGAGCCATGAGGAAAAAAATGGGACCCCTCTCCCCCACCAACATCAACCCTATCATTGCATCCCAGACATCAGATTCAGAGGAACATTCAGTGAGTATTGGTGGATTGATTGTTCAGATGCTGAGATGGTCTTCTGGGCTGTTCATTCTTTTTGGGAGAAGAGTTGAGCCCCATGAGGATTTTTTTTTCTCACTCCCACCTTTTCTGTAGAAGAGTTATCCAGAAAGAAATGCCACTGACAAATGAAGTTGTAATGAATTTAGAGCTGGAAGTGGCAAGCCCAGATCTTACCTAAAGCGACTGAAAAACTCTGAAGACAAGCAAGAACCAATTCATGCAGTATTTATTGTGAGCTGCTTGTGTTTGAGAAGAAGGACCATATTTGAATGGATTTTTCTGTATTTCCAGTCCATGTCCGTTGCATGTGTAAAAGTGCAAGAAAAAAAAAAAGAGAGAGAACAGATGTAGATACCTTCATTGTGCAAAATGAGAAACAGTTGCACAACTATACCATATTACCAAACTAATTACACCAAACTGAGAGAGACAATACAGTCATAGTACATTTCAGAGGTATAGTATTTTTCATGACCACAGAAGAAAAAAATTGTTTGTTTAAACATTTTAACTTGTACTAGTGCCACAGAAGAAAGAAGCCAAAAAAAATTCCTCGTTGGGATTTTTTATAAACAGTGAAAAGGCAAAATATATTTTCTAAAAATAAATATGAAAAAATTACCTCCAGGTTGCTCAGGTTGCATAACAGTCATTCCCCAAGCAGAATCAAGCAAGTAAACATGATGCGCCAGAAGCGGGAACCCAGGAGCTAGAGAACTTGCTGGCATCTTGGCAGATGAGATGATTACGGCAGTTGCTAGTGCCATATTTTAATGTGCATCCAGACTGAAGCACAGATCTAGTATGAAGTTTAGGAGAGAACCAGAATATCTCAATAACTAAGTTGTGATATTCAAAGCTGGTAAGGTGTTTTGAACTATAATGCTTCAACCTGCACAGGGAAGACCATATTGTTCAGTGATCCTCCTTATTTACTGTATTTGTCTTTAAACAAATGTGCACTTAGAAAACTTGATGCCGGGAAAGAGAATTTTAGCCTAATCTTACTTTTTGGAGAATTCATAGAACATTTTTCCTCCCATTTCTATAGAAGTGGCATGTATCATCTGTAGAAATATGAGTTAAGAATTTCTCTGCAGGAGTAAGCTAAGTCTTTATTTTTATGACAAAAGTATAGAAGAGTGGGACCACGAAGGTCTTTTTTATTTATGTTCAGAAAGACTGTTCTTTGTGTGCCCTTGTTATGCTTCAAGATTGTTTATCCTTTTTCAGATCATAAAAGCACCATGATTTTCTTTACCAGCTAAAACATTTCAAGCTGAGAAATCCAAATTACTTGGCTTAGAATAAAGAGTTTAACCTATTGGCAAATATTAATTAATTATTACATACCATGACCAAGGCATGGTCTAAAAACAAGACAGCAAAAAAGATAATAATTGCAAATCAATTCAGTAAAGCTAGCTCAAGCCCCAGTAATCAGTAATAACAATACCTTAAAACAAACTCTTGGGATATGTGTGTGTGTGTGTGTGTGTGTGTGTGTGTGTGTGTACATATTCCAGATATTGACAAAAACTCTCAGCTAAAAAAAAAGATTAAAACTAAAGCCTGTAGTAACCCAGTAATGCAGAACAAAGATCTTTAACTTCCCTTTAAAAGCAATTTGATTTCCATAGATTTGAAGGGAACTCTGTTCCAGAGTGATCCTGGTCTCTCTTTGTATTTTGTGTACTCTTTGAGAGTTGTTGGAGCTTTCTGTTCTGTCTTGAGCTTCCTGGTAACAGTTCCTGCTCTTTTAAGAATAACCTCTCTCTCTCATACCCTTCTCCATTCCTCCAGTCTTCAGAAAACATCCCTCCTGGCTATGAGGTGGTCTCCTTGCTGGAAGCCCTTAATGGGCCTCTCACTCCATCCCCAGCCGCTCTTCCTGTCCGTGTGCTTGGGGACAGCCATGTGTCAGCCATGCTACCCACATATGGCAGTGACAGCCACTTGCCTCCCATTAGGTCACTGCCTTCCCTTGAACGCTTATCAGATTGTGGCAATCAAGGACATAAATTAAAGAAGAGCCTGTCCAAGTAAGTGACCTCCCGCCATCTCCCTCTTGCACAACAGTAGATGAGCTGCAGGCAGTAAAACCTTATGGCTGATATCCTATTAAGTCTATTGTCTCTAATACAATCCTTTGGTCAACAATCTTTTCAGATTGACATGATTTTTGCTTGGTGTCACTCATACAATTATTTAATTATTATTGCAATTTTAAAAATGGCCAGGTTCTCATTGGAGAACGTAGATCTCACGAATGTCTAGGTATTTCCATTTCAGTTTTCTTAAAGAAATGATAATTTAAAAAATGGTGAGAACCCATGAACGTCATTGAGTATTGTCATAGGCGCAATTATTATTCACAGGTGCCTGTGAAACCTGTACTGACCACTAGATTTTTTAATGACCTACAAAGTCCCTTCCAACTCTGTAATTCTGTAAATTAATGTATCTAGCTAGCTCTCAATGGCCACTGGAGTCTTCTGTAGCATTTTTGGAGACCCCCCATTTAATCATTCTAATGTTTGTGTTTTCTACAAAGGAGTCAATTTTAGATTGTGTGTTTTCACCAGGTCAATCTCACAGAATTCCTCAGTATTACATGAAGAAGAAGATAAGGCTCGCAGTGAATCTGAAGTCAGGATTTCCCAAAGGAAGTCTCCCTGTCCTCATGGAGAGGTGATTGTTTTAAAATTCCTGTTTTTTAAAAAAATATTACATGAGCCTGCTGTTTACTTTTTTCTTCCAACAGACATACAGTATAGAATACACATTAGGAAAAGGAAGATTTTACCCTTTGCATACTGTATATAGGAGTTAAATCCATCAGCATTTGCAGGCATTTTAGTGAATTTAGACTTGGAAAAGAATCAGAGGTGTTTGCAAATATCTACCTCGAAAGAGAACTGATCTTTACAAGCTCTGGAATTCCTCTCACCTTAGTTAAAATTGCTTTGCCAGATAGAAAAGTGTTGTGTAAAACCTTTGTTGGTTAGGGGTAATGAGGATTTACTATCTGAAAGTGATAGGACTTTCATTACCCAAAGTCTCTATACCCACAGGAAGTATCACATAGCACCCCTTTTAAAATTGTCTACTCTATTGAAATGGATTTGGGTTAGAGCAGGGGGGTCAATCTTGTGTCGTCACGGTGGCATCATGTGACATATCGGGACTCCCCCACTTCGCTAAACCAGGTGTGGGTGGGACCAGCACATAATATATCTGGCCTGTGGGCCGCAAGTTTGACACCCCTGGGTTAGAGTGTAACATTTTCTAAGACGGATCTTGAAAAGGTTACATTTTCCAATGCTTGAGTTGGTTTGTGAAAATGATTCAAGATCTTCCAAATTTTCTTCTTATTCTCACATCTTTCTTCATTTAAGTCTATCTTGGGGGAATCTACCCATTTCCCCTAGCCTTTATGCCCTTCAGAATTCTCAGTAACGGCCATGTTGGCTGGCAAGTTCTGGAGGAGAAAACCATATATAATGAAAGTGTCCTAGTTGTGTAAGCTAATATAGTGGTCAGACTGAGTGACTGAGTCAGATCCTGTTTCTAATAGTTACTCCATAATAATTTTTCATTATAAATTATGGTTTCCCTGTTTTTCAGGATTGTGGTGTGACACCTGAAAGTGAAAATCTCACCCTATCCTCCTCAGGAGCAATAGATCCATCTTCATGCACAGGAACACCTCTTTCTTCTACCATTTCTTCTCCAGAAGGTATAGTAGAAAAGGTGTTTCTAATCTCTTTTGTGTCCTCCATTTTAATATAAGTTGAATTTTGTGCCTTTGGCTCAGTGTTGATTTTTGGAGACTGCCTTACTCGTCCTTGCAGTTTTCTTTACAAGATTTTTAGAAACAGCTAAAGGACCTGCCTCACATCCACCCTATAACCTAGTTCCAAATAAATGATTTTACATATGTGCTGCCTATATGTCCCGTACTCCAGGATATTATGTTCATTAATTGATGAAAAACTATGCCATTGCATTTGTGAAGAAGTTTGCTGGTTCATAGATTCATCACCTCATCTGTAGGTTTCAAGCTGGACAAACTTTTTAATGAACTGTCCAGAGACAGTTCAGTAGAAGCTAGATATAATATTTGATCTTATTAACTATATTCTGAGCCCAGCAGCACAAGAAATGTAATTGTTCAGAGTAAAACTGCCACTGAAACTTGGGCACTCATAAATACTTCTGGCTGATTGGTTTTTTCTTAAAGTTGATCCCACCATTCCAGCAAATGATGCTCAAGATTACATAGCAAGATGCAAATACTATTGTAGCAGTGGTCGGACACAAGGGTGGCTCCTCTAACATCTCTCTCTTAACTCTGCCTTGTCTGCCACCTCCCTTCTTCCCTTAGATCCTGTTAGTAGCAGTCTGGCTCAGTCAGTCATGTCTATGGCCTCCTCCCAAAGTCAGCACTCCGAAATCAGCACAGATACCATGTCTTCCATGTCAGGTTCCTATGTAGCCCCCGGCACTGAAGAAGAGGGAGACATGACGGCATCCCCTGCTGTTGTCAGTGAGGTACCTTCAGAAGGAGATGTAAGTAGATCAAACTCCAGACCAGTCAAGGGATGAGCAGCAACAGAATCTGCGATAAAGGGGGGATGAGAAAAGTAGCTCCTGGTTTGAGGCAAGCAAACTCATTCAGGCAAATTTCTTCATATAATAATTGTCACTTTTAAAAGAAATCCCGACCTAGTGGTTTTTTTTAAAAAAATAGTACATGTTTTGAATGGAACTTGAGTGGACACATTTAATATTCAAGAAAGTTGCCAAGAAGGTGTCTGTAGCCACCATGACATTGTCCTGGGAACAGCAGGAACTGATCCCTGGAAAATATTCTCCGTATCTTTTCAAATGCCTCCTTTTCATTTCAGGGAGGAAGTAAAGAAGTAAATTAGCATTTCAGAAAGACAAACAATGTTTGGTTATGTTTGGGTTAGTACTATGGACGTGATTTGGCAGATGATATTTTGTCCTTATAATAGGATATTTGCCCATCAACCTTTTTCAGTTCTCTCTTCTCTTTTCTTAGTCAACCCCTGTTGAGTCTCCTGATGAAAATTTTGTCAGTGTCTCAGCAGAGGAACGAGATGCAGAGGTAAAGTTCTGTATGTGAAAGCTTGTTTTAACAGGGAAAGTGAGATCTGTCTCTGAGCCATAGTTTTTATTTGTATGCAAAATCTTTTTTAACAATATTCTACAAGGCAAAACACAAAACAAGTGGAAACCACAGGGCAAAGTAAAACAGTAAAGCCCAAAAATGTAGATTAGATAGCTGGGAATCATTCTTAGGATCAGGAGACAGAGGTCTAATGGTATTCTAGGTTAAAGCAATGATGAAATGGGAGTCATTCACAGAACAACAAGATGCAGGAAATACTCTGGATCAATAACAGAGCAGTTTGACCTCACTCAAGCATTCTCAATGTCATTCCTCCAAATATGTTATATGGTTCTGAGAATTCCCAGATAGCAAGTCCATTATTCATACTGATTTTAAATTCTGGAAGTTGCAATCTCAGTTCCTTTGGAAAAAATATATAGCATCCCCCCAGAGATCCAGATGGCCCCTGCTAGTTTTTTTTTGTTAGCACTAAAGATTTGGCTGTTCCCCCAAGATTTGGTCTGGGAAATTGTGAACTCTGCTGGCTAGTTAGTTGTACCGTAATTATTCTGGGAAATGATTTTTACCATCTTGGATATTTGGATAGTTGAAGTAAGTTTTTTGTTTTTAATTTTTATATGATGCTCAGAGTTGTAGGATGGGCAGCCATATAAATTGTGTAGATAAATTAGGAAGCAAGCAAGCAAACAAACAATCTAGTCTGGAGAAACTCAATATACTTAAACTGAATTACTATGGGTAGAATGGTTAGCTGAGCCTATTATAGAAATATAGAAAACTGAAGGCAGAAAAGACCTAGTGGTCCATCAAGTCTGTCCTTTGAGTTTGTTTCTTTTCTTTTCATTATTTATTATTTTTATATTTTATTCATTCAAGCAAGCAAGATAATTTCTTGTGTGGGGTGTTTTATTGAACTGTTCCTTTTGGCCTAATCTAAATTACTACAATGGACTTCTAAAAATTTACCTTGTGCTTTGTGGTGGGGAAAAAAGAGGGGGACTATCTACAGGCCAGCATTCAGATCTGTGTGTTAATTCATAAAATATTTCTGTGATCTTTTAGAGTTACCAACAGAAAGGGAAGGGGAAGCAGTGGGTGTAATCTATAAATGTTTTCAAAGATAGTTTCTAGGCGACCGAGGTTTCTGTCGTGCAAAATTCTAATTGGAGAGCATGATTGATGACTCTTGGCTATGGATGTGTCCCATTGGAGAATATGAATTATGATACACTCAGGGGGTGGGGAAAAACAGGGTCAAGGGTGACAATGAATTATGTGTCTCAGAGTCGGCTACACCCAGGCAGTGCCGGCATGTTTACCCCTAATAAATCTTTTTAAAGTTTGAAACTCCGGCAAGAGACTCATGATTTAAATGGGGGTAACTACCGGAGCCCTGACACTGTGATTTAAAACATAATTTGGAATTGTACATCCGACTCAGAAGATGTCAGTTCTATATGCTTTTTAGAGCAAGCCCTTGCAAAAGGATTAGCCAGGTTTATAGCTTCCCCAATCACCTTTGGAGGACAGAATGCTGTGAGAATATTAATATCATGCTAACCACATAATGAATCATTGATTTGTATATTCACACTTTATCTTTTTTTTTTTTTTGGCAGGGGAATGATGTCATGGAAGAAGAGGATGCCTCTCCCACACAGGAAGATGGTAACACAGAATACAGCATTGCTTCATGCCCCATGTTGGTTCTCTTTCATAACTAGCAGAACCAGGGTTCATCATGAACAAAGGAAAGAGCAGAGCTGAGACACATTGCTAACTGGCACAAGCTCAGTTTTGCTAACTGAATTGCTATACTTCAAAGCGAAAGGCCTTTCTTAAACGAGCAGGTAGAAGAAATTTGAAAACATGGAAAATTTAAAGAGTTCTGCCAGTTCTCTTTGTTTATTTTCAGGAAAAATGGGCAGAAACAACTGGCAATAGATCAGCAAATTATTTTTGACTCCAATTGTTTGAAAGTTACAAGGGTTGGAATAATATCCCCATTCAACATTTCATTGCTGAAAAAAAAAATGCTTGGAGAGTATTTTATTAGTTTTAGAACCAAGTTCCAGATTCCTGAACATAATGCTCAGAGTTTTGCAATTCTGACTATATGTCCACTTGAGTTAAAAAGAAATTGTATCTGGCTGGCAAGACATTCTATTAAAATGAAAACCTGTAATCCTGAAACATATCACTGATTTTAATATTTATTATTTCACAGTGATATGTAATTTTCATTCCCTAAGTTCCCAATTAAAAAATAAATTAAAAGGCAGTTCGTCCCCTGGGAAACCAAGGAATTTGATATTTTAACATATTTATGTTCTCTTGACATTGAATGATTTCATGTATTCCATAGTTAAAATTTAGAGATATGGTCAGATCAGGGGCTAAAAGTCAATGAATTGGTCTCATTAAAGAGAGAAAGACGCAGGATTTTCTTTAGCTGAGTTTCCCTTTTCCAGGGAGCAAATTGATGGTGTTACAAAGTCTCAGCTTGTTCTTTTGAAATTAAATGACTAAATCCCCAGATTTTCTTGAGACTACTTAAAAGTTGGGAAAGTTATTGTTGCTGTTAATATTATTAAAAATAATTTTGTGTTTCCTTTTGAGGCAACCCCCTCTACATGTTTCAGCTTTGGTTTCATTCTGCAGTCTAAATTAGATCTGAGTATTAGCCAGAAACACCTTTAGGTTATCTAAATTCTTATGAAGGTAAATCATATTAAAATAAACACTATGGTTGATTAGATCACTGTTCATTGTCAGCAAAGTCAGAAATGCTTCACATTGATGAATGTTATCGGGCAGTATACAAATGGGAATTCCCCCTTTTATTTTTTAAGCATAGATTTTGTTTTATTTTTAAAATTTGTCCAAACCTTGTAACAGTGAACTGATGTATTCAAATAGATCCTTACCATGATCTTTATTTTTCTATTGGCATCTTGCCCAGAATAATAAAACCCATAGCTTTGGGGAAAATGCTGTGATTTTTCAGAGCCGTTTGAACAAAACTTATTGGAGAAGGGATTGTATCCTATCTGGCTCTACCATCTTGTCACAACAAAATCAAATTTCTACTGTTTTTTGATTGTTCAGAATATTTCATAGATGCCAGCCAGAGACAACTTAAACCACAAAATAGGTACTTTCCTTGAACTTTCTCTGTGGCACTATGACTGGTTTATTTGATACCTTTACGTACAAGATCAAATCTCTCCCTATGTGCCATTTATATTTCCATATTGGCAAGGATAGCCTTGAAACAGGAAGTGAAAATGGAGGTGGTGGAGGAAACCAGCCACAATAGCTTTTGGCCGCTGCATCCCCATCTCTTATTGTCCACTCTCTACCTTAGTCCCCCTTGACCTGAGGTCTTCCAGATATGTAGAGACTTCAGTCCTCAGAATTCCCAACTAGTGGAGACTGTAATTGGGAATTTGGAGATTTGAAATTTCAACAAACCTGGAGGTAGCAGGTTGGAGAAGGCTGCTCTATCTTTTTGGCCACTGTTGAGGTTTTCTTCATTTCTGAAGTGTGTGATGTTTTCTGCTACCTTAAAGAGAAGCAGAATTAAACCAAGCCTCACCCCCTCTCTAACTGCATTAACTCCCTTGCAGGCCAAAGGACAGGCGCATACCTAGGTATGGAGTGTGACAATAACAATGACATTGGCAACGCAAGCGTGAAAGTTCTGGACAATAAGGTGTGCTCTGAGGCCCGCTTACCTGGTGAGTGGCTGTCCGCTGAACATGAACTTTGAAGGGAGGCGGGAGGACAGTTTCGTATATATCCCTCCTCTGCTTTAAAACCCGCCACCACCTGAGAGCTGTCAGCCATTGATCACAGTATAGACCTATTTAGAGCCATACAGTGTAGGGAAATGGATAGGAAGGAGAATGCTATTTTGTGTGGCATCTTCCTGATACTTAAAACCACTCTCTCTTGTCTCCCTCTCCTGCCCACCTCTGCTTACGTCACTCTAGATCATAGAGATAAAGGTCAGATTTCCTAAATATAAAGCAAATTTCTAAGGTGGCTTTCTTCAGTGAATGCTGATAATTGCGGTTTCAGTACCTTCTAGGAAACTGCTTAGAATACCTTAATCCTTCAGTCTCTAATCTTTGCAGACTGTGGGAGCCAGGTTTAACCTAAACTGCATCGTTGGTGGTATCCTTTTTTACTTCCTGCTGTTTGCCTTCCTACATTTCTTTTCCCCTTGCCCTGCTTCCCTCCCCCCTCACTCTTTTCACAATCATCCCTCTCTCTTAAACTTCTTTAAATCCAAGAAAATAAAAAGGGTGATACTAGCAGCACAGCTGGTTTTGGATTGGGCTATAAACTAACCAATCTCAGTTTGCCTGGCACTTTCACACAGTTATAGTTTTCAGAGTACTTTGAAGGGAAGCCACAAATTTGGAAGCAATTTAAGTGTGTCGTTTGAAGATGATTACACCCATTTGCTGTAAGAAATAGGTTGGGTAGTTAGATCTGAGCCCAAGCTTGATCAAAGTCAAGATTCTTCTGAGCAAGGGTTAATGACTAAAGGTTAATATATAAGAAGCAACATCTAGCAAGATGTATAGAAATAAAAGACAAACTCTTCTACAGGCAGCTAGTTCCAGTAGGTAGAAAAGGAACTTCTTGAGTAGTAAATTCTAGTAGATCTAGTTCAGCTTTCCCATCCTGGAATCCTTTGGAACCAATTTCAGCTCCCGCAGTCCCCAGGCCATAACCGTGCCAGCTAGGAAATTATAGTTGAACACATCTGAAGGGAAATCCATTTGATAGTGTCTATTTCATTCAGTCAATGAAATGACCAATTCTTAATTTCCTAGCATAATAAGAACTTATTACTGCCTCCTCTCCAGCTTATTTTATATCTGCTAGAAGTCCTTAGATTTCTTTTTATCCTTCCACCTAGGAAGCTCAATAATGACAGATAATGAACAAGCATGAGCATAATTTCCTCAGAGACATGTTTGGTATCCTTTGGTGAAGCCCCAATATCACAACCCCAACTTTAGTTGGTTACTAATTCTGGGTATGATTTGTTTCTTCTTTTTTCCTCTTTCATTGATCTCTCCCCCCCCCCCCCGCCACTGGATTTCATCAGTGTGAAAGTTCATGTTCACTCTGTGCCAACACAGTACCAGTTTTTGTTTTTCCTTAGCCCATGCTCCCATCCCATCATTTTCTCTATGTTGTTGAATGGTTATAAACTTTACTGACTGTCCTTTTATGGGTCTGGAAGAAACTGAAATGTGGATGTGTTAACAACGCCACTGTCAAGGACTGGTTAGATTTTTTTTTCTTTCTTTAAAAAAAAACATTTGTGATTTTTAACTCTGCCCAATCCTGCATTCATTACTTCTTTAGATTTCGATTAGATAAATTTACCTCACTTTCTTTGGTGTGTACCTCACATTTTAAAAACAGAGGTGCACCAGACCCTTTCCATCAGGTCAGTAAAATTGCCATCATTTCAAAAACCATGGCAACCTACTCCTTGCTTATTTCACCTTCCCCAAAGTTTCAAGGCTGCCTCTTTCTTGGTTGGCATAATTCAATGTGGTTGAAAGGAGAGCTTTCCTCATCCTTGATTTCCTTACATAGCTATGAGCAAACTAAATCTCTTTTCCTATTGTCATCTTGTCTCTCTTCCTAATTTATTCCATTTGGGAAACTTTGTGGATAATCCAGACTTTGCTGTGCCAACTACATATGTGCCTGCTGATAAGAGACCTGCAACAATAGTAACAATATCATCTTTCTACTAGAGCGGGAATCATTTAAACACAGGCACATGCAAGGTCATTTCAATTTCAAGATGAAAAAAAGATGTTCTCTGGAATATTACCTCTATAGATATATTAATTACATACCTGCATACATAACCACACACACATTCCTTCTTTCCCCCGCTCTCGCTCTCACATACGTAAAAGTACAGAACTGGGTAAATCCTAACCAAATGTCATGGTATCTAACAAAATGAAATTCAATGTAGAGAAAAGTAAAGTCCTACACTTAGGCAAGAAAAAGCAAAAGTACACATACAGACTGGGTGAAACCAGGCTCAATAGCAGTAACTGTGAGAGGGATCTTGGAGTCTTAGTGGACAACCAGCTAAATATGAGCCAGCAGTGTGCAGCAGCAGCCAAAAAAGCTAATGCAATCCTAAATTGTATTAACAGAGGGATACAATCAAGATCAAGGGAAGTACTAATACCACTCTATAAAGCCTTAGTAAGACCACACCTAGAGTACTGCATCCAGTTTTGCTCACCACATTATAAAAAGATGTTGAGACTCTAGAAAAAGTACAGAGAAGAGCAACCAGGATGATTAGGGGACTGCAGACTAAAACATATGAAGAACGGTTACAGGAACTGGGCATGGCTAGTCTAGTGAAGAGAAGGACCAGGGAGACATGATAGCAGTCTTCCAATATTTGAGGGGTTGCCACAGGGAGGAAGGGGTCAAGCTATTTTCTAAAGCACCCGAAGGCCAGGCAAGGAATAATGGAACGAAACTGAACAAGGAGAGATTTAACCTGGAAATAAGGAGAAACTTTCTGACAGTGAGAACAATTGATCAATGGAACAGCTTGCCCTCGGAAGTTGTGGGAGCGCCCTCATTGAGACTTTCAAGAAGAGATTGGACTGCCATTTGTCAGAAATGGTGTAGGATTTCCCGCTTGGGCGGGGGGTTGTACTACATGACTTACAAGGTCCCTTCCAACTCTGATTATCTGTTATCTAAATACAATTTAATATGAACTCATGACCTTTCCAGTTGTAATCTTTTAAAATGGTTGTAATCCTGCTTGAGTTGCACAGATAGTTGAGCAGCTTAATATCAGATATTAATTATCAGTAGTATAGTATTTGGCTTTTCAAAGACTGCCTCCGTACCAAATTTACTGGAAAACAGATGGGAAAAAAATGCTTATTACAATTTTCTAAAGGTCTTGAGGAGGCCAGAAGAAAACTGGAAGCTAAAGGGAAAAGTGCATTTTATTCTGTGCTTCTTTTCCTTTTTATTCAATAAGATTACCAGATGAGATACTCTCCATTTTAGCTTCCCAAGATGAGAAGTATATATTAGATGTACTACTCTGAAATACTTAACCATTTGAAATGCTTAACCATGGCCTACAAAAGAAAGGGTGAAAAACAGTGATTAGTAAGCTCATAAGTCTGTTTCACAAAATGTGGCGCTGGGTCCATGCCAAGCTTGCCAGCCAGCACATTGAACAAATAAGGATGGAGAGCAACAGCTTGTCTCTTTGTTTTGAGCAAACTGATTAAAAAAGCAATTGTGCTTTCAACTGGAGGAAAAGAGAATTCTTGAATATGAGCAAACCTTCAAAACAGCATTTTAGAAAATCCTATCTTTGCCAAAATTTAAAGAAAAATTGTTATTTAATTGCAGGTAATTCTTGACTTACGACCAAAATTGAGCCCAGAATTTATGTTGCTAAGTGAGAAATTTGTTAAGTGACTTTTGTCCCACTTTACCAGTTTTCCTACCACATTTGTTAAGTGAATCACTGTAGTTGTTAAATTAGTAACACTTTTGTTAAGCGAATCCGGTTTCCCCTTTGACATTCCTTGTCAGAAGTTCACAAAACATGTTCACATGATCCCAGGACACTGCAACCGTCATAAATATTATCCCATTGTCAAGCATTTTAATGTAAATCATGTGGCCATGGAGATGCTGCAACGGTCATAAGTGTGAAAAATAGTCATAAGTCACTTTTTTCAGTGCTATTGTAATAGTCACTAAATGAACCATTGTAAATCGAGGACTACCTGTATTTCATTTCTTCAGTCTACAATTTTAGATAAATATTCTTAACACTGAATGTCAGGGCTGTTTCCCTCCTTCCCCCCCCCCCTACACACACACAAAAGCCAAAAACAAGATGGCTGACAATAGTCAGAAAGGCCAAATGAGAGTCTCTGGATGTTCTCTGAGACAGTGGGAGTATTAGGAGAAATCATTTGGTGGGCATCAACTTTTTATTCATTTTCCCCACGCTCTCTGCCTTGTGGGTAACCAAATGAATATACTTGAATGCTTGTTTCCATCAAATACTACGGACCCCTTCTTTCCTCAGAGATGCCTAGAAATGAGAAAGAGATTGGAGGGATTTTCTGAAGAACATGCAATAGAATTTCCTTATTCCTTTGCACAGTTGACCTTAGTCAGAGCTTAAAATAGGACCTTAACTTGGGAACTGTAGTGGATAAGGATCATGTCCATCTCTTACAGTGCCCAGGCTGTATATGTAGGCACTTGAGATGTTTCTTCTGCAGTATCACCTGAAGTATTTATGGTGATTCAAAAGAACCTTGGGACCTTGTGGAATAAATTTAATAACTACTCTTCTGCCACAAGAAGCGGCTTCAGTTTTTCTGGCTTGCATACCTTTGGGTGGCTTTGCTGCTTGCAAGATTCTTCTGCTGATCCCTTCCCCTCACTGTTTGTGTATGGAGCCAAACATTCTGCCACCTCTGCCGCCTGCTGACTAATTCTTGAATCTTTGAGCAAAGCCATGCTGCTTCTTCACAGCTGCTCGAGAAACAACATGGTCTTGCCTCAGTGTCACGGAAGTTGCACTCAAGCAGAACTTAGAATGGCTTTCTGATCTGCTGTGCAGAGATGCATGTGGCTTTAAGCCCTTTAGCATGTGGAGTTTGAAGATGGTTGGGCTGGCAAAGGAGAGGTTCTGAAGTTGTCCTTGAGTTTCCCTCACACTCCATTTTCTTCACTCCAAAGTTTGAACTCCTATTCCAGTTAACATCTTCTGGGTAAACTTCACGCCTTGGCTTATGGGTCTTTTAGTCTCTTCTCTCTCTCTTTTTTTAAGAGCAGATACAGGTAAGTGCTACTTATCCACATTCCAAGTAGAATGGTGGAGATAGGAAGGCCCACTTAGAAAGAAGATAGATGGGAAGAAAAGAACCACTTCTGTCTCCGGTATACATATTATAGAAATGTACATGTTATACAAAATACATAAGCATATGCTATAGTGAGTGGAAGTTTCTACATATTTGCAGAGTCTACAAGACCTATTTAATTCTCAGGTTCCCCATCTTTGAATATCTGAATAAAAAAATAGCAAGAAGAGGATCCTTAATGGCAATTTGCAAAGTGATTTTTATTGAAAGTGAAATGTTTTAGTGCCACAAGTAGTCGCCAATCCAGCAGTTTTAATTAAACAAGGGTGAATGAATGCTGTATTCATGTACTAATTAACTATGTGGTCATTTCAAGCTATAACTTCGCTTTCCTGAGTCATTATTCCCCCAACCACAAGTATAAGAACCTTGTGGGATTTTGCACTGATCTCTGAGATGTAACATGTTCAGAAGCCTTTTCACATGATGCCTTATTAAGGTATATTACTTGCTTTTGTATTTCTAAAGCAAGTCTGTGTTTTATAATAATGATAAAGAGACACTCTAGTCATTACTTCATAGTAAATGGAATGGGCTTTTATTTCCTCTGTATTTTTTAAAAATAAAATCTGAACACAAATATGCTGTGACAAATGGACAGTAAAGCAGATTGGATATACAGTATATTGATTGGTACATTCCCAAGTTAGAATGTTATCGCCCCAGAATCCTCATGCAAACATTCTTTAAAAGTTATTCTGGGAGTCATAAATGTAATATTCTCTTTCCCTCTCTTTTCTTGACACCCCCCTCCCCCAGCCCCACTGCATTTATGTGGTCTGTCTTTTCTCTGGTTTACCATTTGCTTTTGGTCTTTCTTTTTTTACTGAACAGCTGCAGCTCCGGAATCCTGTCCTATAAACATTGAGGAATAGGTATGAGATACATAAAGTCCTTTGTTGCTCACACCTGGAAAACATACAACTCTCATTCTGGAATATAGGGGTCTTTCTCTTTTTTACAGCCACAGTCTTTTTTTTGGGGGGGGGGGAGTCATTTCTTTCCAGGGTCAAGCAGTTCCTTTTATCACTTGGATATAAATATGCCTAGAGGACTCTCATTGTATTCAGTGATGTAAAGAACATAGGAAAAGGAATATAGGAACCACTGATGTTTGAGCTCATAGCCATGATTCAAAAGCCAGTAAAACAGGGTTAGTTAAGGTCTCAGTCAAATTTTAACTTTCTAACTATACTTGCTTTAGACATCAATCTACTTTAGATCCTTATGATAGATTACTTTTCTGAATAAGGAAAACAAGCCATCACAGAACCCACAGAACTGGGAAAATACATCTCAGCTGTGCAGGAAAACCATTTTTCAGTACAATCCTGACTTTATTTTATTCAGAAGTTAACTGCTGTCTGCCCAAAAGAGCTAGCTCAGCAAACTGCACATTTTGCAAATCAAAAGAAGTGCAGACTGGAGATAGAGACCTATCCATGTAAGTAAGATGGCAGATGAAAATATAAACCTTTTATCAAAGAGTTCACTATTACAGCTTTTCCCAAAAATAAAAGGGACATTTAGAAGATCTGCCTGGTAGATTGTTCAGCCACTTGGAATGAGAAGGAGGACAGTGGAATCGAAATTGACCAAAGGGAAGGTGATTATGTCATTATGTTTTTATTCATCTAAAACATGGGTAGATTGAAAGGATCATTAGAATGAATCCATAATGTGCACTAAAGGACTTTTTTTCTGGCTATGTCAAGAATTTACCAGATAGAATGCATTGGAAGAGAGATGGCTAAAAAACATGCAAGCAAATAGGAATCTGGAGACTTTGAGATTGGGAATATATAGCACTGACGGTCAAAAAAGGCATTCTGCAGGCTTTTCCCCTGCCCCCAGTGGGTTTTTTTTTGGGGGGGGGGGTGATAAAATGGTGGGAACACACAGGAGTATAAAAAACATAAAAGTAATACTGAAAGTACCATCAGACAGTAATCTTTTTGCACTGATAATTTACTGGATGGAAAAAATATACCCAACAAAAACAGCATTACAGAAAATTGAATTTGGAAAAATAAGACCCAGATGAGATTTGCCACAAATCCAGTCTATATACATTCTAGATTAGGAATGGGCAAAGAAGTAGCAGTATAGTTATACATTACTTTTAGGATTAGGTGCTGGATAAAGCAGCTCAGAAAAAGCAGTGGACTTCTACAAGAATTATAGAAAACATCAAATTGACTAAACATGGTTTGGCCAGGTTCCTTTATACATTCTTTATGTGTTCTTACCTGGCTCTCATCAGTATAATGTGATTTAGTTTTTAATTCTCAGAATTTGATAGTTGCATATTACTTGAGTGTAGTACGGTATCTATTTAGTTGAGTACTTCTTGACAACTCCTTTTAAGCATTTTTTCCTAGAAGGTTTTGTTGGTATTCATCTCCTTATCCTCAATCTTCCTTGTCATGTTGAATTGCCAGGAATTGCCAGGAATCCATATAATTTATAATTCTTATAAGTAGTGTTGCTGGTATATAGGTGTATTTTCCAAGGTATATTCTTCAATTGAAAGGATGTTTATGTACTTACATCAGAGATCAAAATTAAAAAAAGAAAATTTAAATCCATGGTTGAATGCAATGGCCATACCTTTATGCTGTAATAAACTGAAAAGTGTTTGAGACTGAAAACATTTTTGCAGAAGTGTCTTATTATTACATGAAGAAATATAGAAATGCAGGATATTTTTTTCTAACTTTTGGGGATAAAAATTGAACACCTCAAACATAAACGAACACACCCAGAAGACCACCTTAGTTGCTTCTTGTATTCAGCGATTTATATCTTGCAGTGTGTAACCCTGGGTTTTAGTCAAATCAAATGGTGTAAACATTTTTAATATACTATATCAGTAGCAAAATAGCTGTCACAAGGTTAACAGCAGTCATTTTTGTGCTTGAAATATCTCAGGTTCATGTTCTTGCAGAAAATGTTGGCTGTTTTATTATCAAATTCTCAAGTCTTGTCTATCTGCTATTGTGTAAATTGATATAAAGCTATATAGTTGCTGCTGTGCTTTTTTAATTGTTGGGGTATTCAGCAAGCTCGCGTTTCCCCAACTGGTGTCATCTCAATATGATAGAGATACAGCTCCCCACATTTCAAGCCAGTATCCTGGTAATCCTTGGCGGAAATGCTAGAAGTTGTGATTCCATCTACAGAAAGATTTCTTTCCAACTTAAAGGGCTAAGTTAGTGAGTCTTATCCAGGATCTCCAACAGTATTCCTCTTCTCGAAAGCAGAAGCAAAGTTCTGCCTCTTAGGAATGGTTGCAGCAAATGAGATTTAACCAGAATAGGGCTAAATACACTTTTATACCTATTTTGATTAGAAACACTGCGTACGGGATATATGGGCATGAATATTTGCAAGCCCTTTGTCTTCTTTGGAATAATAGTAGCTTCCACTTTCACATCTAATGACTCTTCAGTATTAGTTAAGTAAACTGTATAAGCCATAGCAAAGTTCCTACAACCAGCTATTTTACGTGGGCATACTTGTTCAATATGTCTTGGTAAACATGACCAAGTGGAAGCTTGAAAGCATATTAGGCTGTTTAGCCTTTTTTTTTAAATGGAAGATTAGCAGTTGGTCTGACAATATTTCCAGAGGTAGCAAAATATAAATATGTCTTTTAAAAAGCATTTGATTTAATAGAATGTTTTGTAAAAATGCCAACATAAGAAAGGGAATGTAGAATCCTAGGAAAGCCTAAATAAAGTTATATGAGCAATGTAATATTTTACAGAGTGATACTAATCTTACTAGTAATACTGAATACTGATACCTGTTGAGATTTAAGGTGCAAATATGAATATTGCCTCCTCTGGAATGCTGATATGCTATTTCTGAACTTGGCTGAGTTCATATCCACAATATTGTCCACTGTTTTCTTTGTCATAGATCTTCCAACATCAGCTGACAACTCTCCGAACCACGGCCAAATGCTGAGACACCCCTTCTCTGATAATGTTGATCTGGAGTTTGCTGGAGATATGGAGTGTGTGTTGGGACCTCTGTGTCCTCAATACCACAAAGAAAAAATAATGATACTAAACACCTCGACACAATAACATAAAGAAGAGCAGCAAAGCCATGGGTACAAACTTCATCAAGTACTGCAGATCATATGACACCTATTTTAAAAAGATACATAATGCTAAGCATTCACAAATCACTAACTCAATGGTTTCTGGTGTTAAAATGAACTTGCGGAGAGGATGGATGAATGAGCTTGAGATGTATTTGGTGACTGGTACCTCCATAAATTCTCTCTCCCTTTCCTATTTTTATCTTGCCAACTCAACCCACTTTGTAATCATTGTTTCCTTTTATGCTCTTAATTTAACACTTGTTTGGGATTGTCATAACACTGGGTTCCTTCTGCTAGCTATGAATGAATGCCAGGTTATCTTTTAAGTTCTTAGCATGTACATACTGAATGTGTATTGTGAAAACGTAATGTATGCGGAAACAAATTCACACCTCCAAACCTATGCATTGGCAGAGAACTGTGTCTTCTCCACCCAGAGTGATAAAATACATTTGATATCACCTAATGCCTGCTGACTTGAGAAGAAATGTAATGATCTACCTTTTTATCTATTCCAGTTTCATCCTGTAGCCTTTTAGTTACCCTTCAAACATGCTCTGTTAGCTGTTCTGAGCTACATCTAAGGGGTTAATGCCAAAGATCTAATATCAGTTATAGATTACTCAAGATCTGGGCTGAATTGTGGGATGTAACACACAAAGGCAATGCTGTTTCAGGGGAATTAACATGCCTAGTACCAACAATACTTTGGTAAAGAAATAAGTGGTGTCTAGCAGCTCTCTCCAAGTGGACAGATAAGTTGCGTAGCTAGCTCTAATTGAAACTTTTCAATGGGGAGATTTCTCTGTGAAAATTCAGACAGATGTCCCTCCACTTGAGCAAAACGAAATGAACTAGCTGTATGTGAAAGTGTGGCTGAGGAAAACATAAAGAACTGGCATAAAATAGCAATTTGTTGAGAGATATATTAAATGCATTATTTGTATGGTGATGTCACTTGAATTACATGCATGTTGTTAAAAGTCTGTTTATATGGGTAAAAATCCTTTAAAGGTGTCTTTCATTATGCATTTGTTAATTATCATGTTAACATATTTCCCTTGATGACGAGTATATGAAAATCATACCAAAGCAGCAATGTGATTTCTTTTACACTGAAAAACAATTATTTGCTTGCTCATGTAAGGATCGTGCTGCAATTCTCTTTCCTCCCTCCCCAATATATTACGGTACTAGCAATCTGGTGAATCTCCAGTATCTTGGGGGCGACCATTTTTGAATATATTAAAACTAATGGAAGTTTTACAGTTTTTGAGATGCAATCTCTACTGGACTTCTGAAACTATGGACATAAATGGCATGCAAGCAATTTTTGAAGATATGGCAGGAACAAAACTACTAACTGTAGATGTTTAGGGGTTTTTTTTCTTTTTGCTTTACCTGTCCTTGGCTGCCATCCCATTGGAGATTAACCATAAAATAACCATAACGCCCTACAGTTGAATAATCTAGTTCCATTAATAATTCAACGAGAAGGATTCATTTATAATTTCCATAGGAGTAATGGTGGTGGACTGCTTCATTTTTACCTTGAATCCTTGCTTCTAGATCTTCGTTAATAAGCTATAGTAACTTAAAATTCTTCACAGAGACATAGAGTTATTTTCCAGGAGAGACTTTCTGGATGATGATCTTGTGTAGTCTCCAAGGGAAGAAGACAAAGTGCACCTCGTCACATTCTGCATCATTCCTCATCCTCTTTTCAAGGTTAAAAATGCAAATCTGCTCAGGTACTATCATAACTTACTTTGTGTAGTCAGGTAAGAACAAATGTGCACATTGCTACATAGGCAGCATTTCCACTGCATCCTTGGATGACTTAATGAGAAATACCTACCAAGTTTATATGCATATTAATTAAACAATAAACAAGAAAAACATGGTAAAAGGAAACAAAAGCAAAACTACTCAGCTCTTATTTTGACTAAATCTTCTGTAACGAAGAAATGTTTCAAAAGCCATTGGGAAGAACAGAATAAAGTGACAGGATTGAGGTTTGAGAGCAAAAGAAACATGGTCAGGAAGAACCTGTTTATTTTTGAATAAGAAAATTAATTCAACGTCAGATGGATTTTATCCTTGGATACCAAAAGAACTGGTTGACAGTGCTGCATAATCTCTGGAAAACCTTGGAGATCAGGTAATGTGCGATGCAGAGAAGAATAAATCTTTCCCTCTTCAAAAAAGAGAAGAAGGATTCAGAGGAACTAGAGGTCAATCTAATATCAGTATCTAAGAAGATTCTACAACAGATTGTAAAGTGATTGATTTAGTGATTACCTTGTTTTCAAAATGCTTACAGAAGCCAGTTTGGATTTGTCAATAAGTCTAACCTAGCTACAGGATGAAAATGCCACAGATATAATTCAGTATTCTTTATTTCAGCAAAGAAATTTTTGCTGAATTGCAAAGAAAAAGTACCCCATGACATTCTAATTCACCAACTGGTTACTTGTGGATTTAATTGTATATTAATCAAACAATTGATTTTAAAATCATATCTAAGAGTATCCATCGATAATTGTGCATCAAATCAAATGAATTTTTGTAAATGACTGAAATGAAAAGTGGAAATTTGATTAGAATTCTTTATTAGCCAAATGTGATTGGACACACAATGCTTCGGATTTACTGACAACACCTTCAAAGCTAGAAATAAACTTAGAACAATCTTGATAGGTTACAGAAATTGATCAAAAATAATAGATAATAATAAAAAGAATAATGGATCAAAATAATATAATGAAATTTAATATATAAATGCAAAGTTGTACAGGAAACAAATCAATTGTATAGGTATAGAATGAATATCTAACTGGATATTGGTTAGAAATATTTTGATATAGTTGCCACAAATTTTAATCAGCAGGTGGCACTGCTGCAAAAAAGGCAAAATAAAATTTGGATTTTATGTAAGTATAAGTATCAAATTGCAGGTAGTAATTGTTCCATTTTATTATAGTGAGATCTGATCTTGACTATCAATTCCAGCTCTTGATACCAAACATTAAAAATGTTTAAAATAAAATGCAATAAGTTCAGAGAAAGCAGTGAGAACAATGGGGAAGCTGCAAATGAAAACTTGGGAAAAGAGGAACCGAGAATGATTGACCTTGAGAACAGAAAACTAGGAGGAAAAGAGCATCTTCAAAGGCCTGAAAGGATGACCCAGAGAAGAAGACCAAGTTCTGTTCTTTATCCTTTTAGAATACAGGACATGTAATTATGGACTTAAAGGAGGTTTCAATTGAATGTTAGGAAAAGCTTGAAAGAAATTGTGGATTCCCCTTTACTGCATGTGTAAAATGAATGTCAAGAATCCCTGCACTGAGCAGGAGTTGGATTTGATGGCTAAATGGTTCCTCCTAGTACTTTAACTCTATGAACAATATTAATAGTATTTTGAAAGTCCAACAACAACAGCAACAAACTAGCATAAAACCTTTTAATTATGCTCAGCTTGAACGAGCTTGAGGGGCATTCAGAATAGTGTCCCTTGAAGTGACTAAGTGGATCTGGAGGCTTCACATGGTTTGGTACAGCTGGTGAACACGCATAAAAGTATTTTGTCCTATGAGCATGACTTTGTCCAACTGTTCTCATTCTTCATTTAGAAAACTAGAAAACTGCATTTCCTCAAGCTTACCTCACCTGTTACGTAGTATGCCTGTAAAATATTCATATATTGAGACAATGCCTGCAGGACAAATGTTGATAGGGATCACAGGATTGGCTTAGGCGATATGTATATACTTTATTCTGTTCTCACCAATACTCTTGAAATGTGTGTGGTCCTAATGTTCCAGGCATCTCTCTATAAAGACTGTAATAATGGTAATCGAATGGCCGGGAAAGATATGGCCCAGCGAGGCCATTCTAAAATGTAGCTTTCTCTTGTAGCCTTTTTCTCTCAGGGACGAAGGCCATATTTCATGCACCCCTCCTAGCCAGATTTTGTTTTTGTGAAAACAGAAATTGCCAGATGCAGAAATTGGGTCCATCTGAAATACGTTAATGAGCAAAGAGTGGGAGCAGATAAGCAAGTGGAACCTCACTCAGGACTGCAGTTATATTTGACTCTGGGCAATGAAGGGTGAAGCCCTCTGGATACACTTGTGTGCACCTCAGTGACAATGATGCAATATGTATTTAGGGTTGCATGACTCTTTCAAAGAGTGAATAAAACTGTTTACAATGGAAAGAAAGCTATTGAGTGGAATAGTCTGTTTTTAGGAGGGGGCAAGGAAAGTGTGTTACCTTCACATTTTTCAGTGCTTTATTTCTCACAGCTGCTCTTACAGCTTTGAAAAGACTCAACGGTTTAAAGATTAATGTTAATCAGATGTATGTTGGGCTCAGGGTATTCTCTACTGCTTCCTGTGTCATGTTTGAAACTCGCTGCTCTTTCTAGCCACACTTATTTCATGCACTGAACATTCTCAAAGAAATGAAAAGTTCCGATAGCTATGGCAAGGCTATTAGCTTGTACTCGGAAAGGAAATCCTGTACATTGATAATACAGTATTTCAGGAAATCGTAGTTCAAAAAGCTCAAACATTAAGGTTTGTCAGGATCTCCGAATTAGAAAGTTCTAAAAAAAAAAAAAAGAATCCAACAGACATATAGGTTACGATTCAGACCCAGAACAAACCACCACATCCTGAAAGTTCTGCCAAACTATTTTGGGTTGATCACAGTTCACCAGAAACAAAAGCTATTTTTCAAAGCACCTGAAGGCAGGACAAGATGCAAAGGATGGAAACCAATCAAGAAGTGAAGCAACCTAAAAATAAGGAGGAATTTCCGGACAGTATAGAACCATCAATCAGTTGGAACAACTTGCCTCCAGAAGTTTTAATGTTCCAACACTGGAAGTTTTTAAGAAGAGATTGGACAGCCATTTGTCTGAAATGGTGTAGGGTTCCTGCCTCAGCAGGGGTTGGACTAGAAGATCTCCAAGGTCCCTTCCAATTCTTATTCTGTTATTCTTTACAATGGCTAGAAGATGAGGGAAGCATGACATATTGGTCAGGGATTTAAGATGTGATAGTGCATCAGAGGTTAAATTAGAGCTGTCTGTGCCTTCAGTGGAGTTGTTCCTAGGTCTACTGTGCAACTCATGTTCATATCATGTCAGTTATGACTTTGGATAACAGTAAAAAGTGGCATTGTCTTCAAGGAAATATGACCACAATTGAGCCCAAAATTTATGTTGCTAAGTGAAATGTTTGTTGAGTGAGCTTTGACCCATTTTATGAATTTTCTTGCCACATTTGTTAAGTGAATCACTGCAGTTGATAAATTAGTAAAAGGTTATGTGAATCTGGCTTTCCCATTAATCATGCTTGTCGCAAAAAGTGAGCACATGATCCAGGATACTGCAACTGTCTAAATATGAGTTAGTTGGCAGCACCTGAATTTTGATCACGTGACCATGGGGAATGCTGCAGTGGTCACATGGAAAAAGTCATGCCACTTTTTTTAGTGCCATTGTAACTGAATGGTCACTAAATGACCTGTTGTAAATCGAGGACTACCTGTAGTCCTCGGTAATACACCACATAATATCAAAGTGTAGGAACCAGTAGTAAATGCAGAATGAAAATAGCCCTTTTTAAGGAGAAGTAGCTTTCTTATATCTTTATTTTGTAATTCAAATTGCAAATATGGAAGTATCCATAATGACACCTGTTAACATAATTATTTAGGAGTTTATTTATAATAAGGTTTGAAAACCAGAAGAGGGCAGGCAAGAGTCAAATGTTGCTAGTCCAAAGAAAGCTGTTGGACTTACACAAAAGGCCCCAGAGACAAAAAAAATAAGCCTTTTAAAGATAAAAAGATTGTGGGAGGGAAGAAATTCTGTGATTTATTCAACAACTTGCATTCAAAATGGTACACACTTTCTGCATTTTCAAAATGAAAAGTTCCTTGTTGCTGGCACAGTTGCATACGGACATTCAAATGCAAGAGAGAAGTACTGTATTCAGCCCTTTTTCCAATATCCACTGGAGTCTTCTTTTTTAATGAAGATTTGGGAGGCACTGTAATATAGCTTCATATAGGGAACTATTTGGGGGAATTAATGCAAATTATTTACACAATTCATAAATCTATAATAAAAATAGTAAAAGTACTTCCTTCAGAATCAGAATATTGCCCTAAGAGAAAAAGCACTAACATTTGCTCTGAAATTTTACGACAGAGTTCCTTCAGAAGAAAAATTGCACAGAATTAGGACAGCAGCAAGGAAGATATGTTTTAAATAGAAATGATCTTGTTCTCCATAATCTGTGGAATTTAAAGAGACTGTTCTTATTAACAGAAAGCTGTCTAGGGAATCAAATATGAAGGGACAAGTTCAAAACTAAGGTCATGTGGAGATCTAAAGGTTAAGAAAACAAACTTGAACCAAATACTTGCCATGTTCTCTTAGAATTTCAGTCTAGAGAAAGCAATATATATGGAAGAGAATTTATGCATCCTTAGACATATGATTATTTCTAGAAAGATATCACAGAGAAATAAATATGCTATTTCATGTGGATGATGATGACGTTTAAAGACTAGTTGGGCCAGATTTAGTAGTTTCCAAACCATAGGATATTGTGAGTTTTTAAAAGGCTTAATTTTTCTCCCAACAGTACTTCATATTTTTAATTGCTTCCCACCCACCCCAGATGAATTAATCAGTTAATTTTACAAATATATTAAAAACTATGTGTTGCAATAACTGTCAGTCTCTAACAGAAGCAGTCCATTTTAATTGTCTCTAGACAGCATGAAATATTCAGGTGGTACTTTGCAAAGAATTGAGTTTTTCTTTCCATGTTCTCAAGAAACTTTTCCCCCATTATACAGGTTTATTTACAATATTTTAGAAGTGGGAAGTTTTTAACCCCACCATATTTTGCTAAACTACAATTCCCAGAAGTCTCTGCCAGCATTGTAAAAGATGAAGGAAGCTTGAGATAATACGTGATACATTACTTTGGTAGCCACATTCTGTACACCATGGTTTCTTTAAAACAATTCTATGCCATTTTTCTATTTTCTTAGTTTCTTCATGCAGCCTTACAATCTAAAAAACATGACACAGAAGGAAAAATGAACAGGGAAAAAGTGGAAAGAATTGGCATCACTTCCTAATAATAATCCTCAATTATAATGATCTTTGTACAATATTTAACTGGGTACAGTTCAGTGACATGAGCTGTTCTTTCAGCCAGGCCAATGAAATCTCCCTGTTCCTCATTCCCTCTCCTGTTGCAGTTGGGGCTAATAGAGAGAAAAACCTTATGATATGGTCATTCCCATCTAGTTTCCCCTGCAAGTATAATGCTAAGTTTTAAAAGGATCACCTCTTATGTTAAACCAGGAAGACCAAAGTCTGAAAACTTGTAGCGTGAAAGAAAATGAAGGTAATGGTGATGATACTGACTTCATGATACTTTCCTGACCAAAAAGGAAGCCAAAACATGCAGCCCTCCAGATGAGTGGATCTATGGTTCCCAACTCCCCCGTTCAACATTAGCCAAGAGAGGGGAGATATAGTCCAGCAAAATCTTGAGGCTTCACTGATATGCCTACGTGTTGCATCATAAAGTCCTCCTGAAGAATGCAAAATAAAAAAGAGGTGACAGCAATGTTTTAATCTCAAGTGAATATTTCCCTGACCTAAAATAATATAAACCAGGGGTGTTCAACCTTGCTTGCTGGGAAGTTCTGGGAGTTGAAGTACACAAGTCTTAAAGTTGCCAAGGTTGGACACTACTACTGATGTAAACTTCAAGGAAGGAAGGAAGCCAACATAAATTTTGCTCTTGTTTTATGAATAACCACAATTCTGAAAATAAGCAGTTTCAATTGCATATTAGAAGCAGTGCAGCTTAAAGATTTATCTATTTTTATACGCAATATAGAGAGAAACACTAACACTACCACAACATTAAAAGTACATTTTTTCTTTTTCCTTACTTCTATGCAACCCTACTTCTGTCCGCAAATTGAGCTGTGCCTTATTAATTCAAAAGACAATAGAATTATCCACATCTCTGTTTTCTTGCCATTTTAAAAAGCCTAACCTACTATTAAAAAGAATGAGATAGCTATTGCAAAAGCTAAATTTTGAAGGGGCACGAAGAGGGAAACAGTGAGGATATCTGAATGAACAGATCTTTGTATCCTTTTTGAGCCAATCTCCTTAAGTGGCCTGAAGGGCACTAAGCCCATACCAGTACTGAAGTAAAATTCAAGTGCCAATCATTGCCTTTATATATGAAATGAAAAGAAGATTCATCCGGCCTGAATCTCAAGCCACGAATGCCTTAGCACAAGACAGGTTCTAACTGGGTGGCAGTTGAGACAGTAGCTCAGCCTTCCAGGATGCTGAATCCTCTCAAAAGCTTTTAACGCCCCAAATTTTCCATTCAGTCTGGCCCATGAAAGATGAAGTTCACCGTTTCTTACAACAAAGACCTGAGTACACATAATTTTTACTTTGAGATGGGGAAGGCAGAAGGGTGAGCATTCTTTCACTCACATTTTATACTGTTTTGAGGAGTGACCAAATGGCAGGGCTGCAACCTTTACCGGCTGAGCTGGGCCAGGTTCCAAAACCACTAACCGCCAGAGAGGGGCATTGTCTGAAGTTTTTATAAGCTGGATGGTATGCAAATGTCAGGAGTAGTGCAGAGAAGTTACATCAGTGCAGGAGGGTGTCTTTGTGTTAGCAGAACTCATACCAGAAAGAAGCCTCCCAATGCTTTGTAATTCTGATTTTTGGATTAATTTCTTATATTTCCTCCAAAAACTCAAGAGTGCAATTTTCATTGGTATTATTTGTGAGATGGGTTTGAGAAAGAACATCTAGGAATTTGACTGTGGGCCGCCCTGCCTTTTGTTTGAATCACAACTATACTATAGTACCCTAATTCATATTTTGGTCATCAGAAGGTTTTGCTAAGGTGCAAGCCAGAAATTGGAAGACCTTGAGGCCTCCTTAAGGCCTGCTTTAGGCATGAAAACCAGCTGGGTGATTTTGGGCTAGACCGTCTCACTCTCAGTCCAACCCTCCTCACAGGGCTGTTGTGGGGGAAAATAGGAAGAGAAAGGTGTATTATGTATATATGCCACCTTACACTAAGAAAAAAATGAAGGTGAGATAAAAACCTAATAATAAAAAGTGGTCCTTGTTTTCATTATTTTGTTACCCAGAGGGACTGCTTTTATTTTTCCATTTTCCATCCTTATCCCTGATAGTTTTCAAAGAATGCAAAAAAAGGTGACTGATTAACAGAAGTGCCTGGATCCCACTAGTCAGATTTCATGATGTCACCAATGTCTCTTTCTTCACAAAAAGGCTCTTCACTATCAAAAATTCATCAGAGCAACAAATAACCAGGAAAAGGTAGGTTCATTCTTCCATTTGTAGTGCAATGTCTTGTGCAGGCATGTATTTTGCAAATGCATTTGTATCAAAGGAAGCCTGTGTGACTAAATGAGAACTGAGGGATAGGAAAAGCAAAAGAGTGTTGTAGAAGCAGTGCTGGAAAGGCTGCTTCAGCAGAGAACTTTCTTCCTTGGCTGGTGAAGTTGGAAGAATAAAATGGCCTAGTGCTAGAAGCTGACCGCAGTTTCTTGAAGAACGTGATAAATATTGAATATCCTTTGCAATTAGGCTTTTTTTCAAGGGAGAGAAAGGGGGTGGGGAGAGAGACAAAGAAGATGTTTTTCTACCCCTGCCACTTAATTGAAAAGGGGGGAAAGATGCTGCAATCTTTCTGATTGAGGGTCTGTCGTGTCCAGTCTCCCCCAACCAATTCTACCTGAGCTCTGGTTTCACCTCTCCCCCTCCCCACTGATCAGGTTACACAGAAAGGTCAGGGAAGCAGTTTCAGGTCCAACTCAGTTTCAGGCTAGTAGGAGAAAGGAGGCTGGCGTAGTCCTCCCTCCCCATGCCTCTGCCCCAGCCCATGAGTGCCCCTTTTCTGCATGAGGTCTAGGCATCGGATCAATTTGGTCCCTGAAGTCTTTAGCCTCATGAAAAAAGCTAACTGTTGAAGCAGCTGTGGCAAGAGTTCAAGAGCAGGAATGTCCCTTTGCCCCTGAATGTCCTCTCCCCTTCCTGCAGTGCCTCTTCTGGAAAAGACAACTTCAAGGCAGAGGCACCGTCTAGTAGACCATGATGGCGATGATGATGATGAAGATGATGATGATGATAATTTAAATAAATAAACAAGCAAATGAAAGCGAGAAGTCCGTGCCTGAGGCGGCTGGGCAAAGCATCTCGGGGTTGCCAAGTTTTGAAAGGAAGGAGCAGCAGGCGCTTTAAATGGTTCCCTTTCTTTTCAAGGCATGGATCTTTCTGGTTGCTGGGCTGTTTGTTGTTGGCAGACGGGCCCCTTCACCACCGCCACCCAAAGAATAATGGGCATCTGGGAGCCATTTCAAGTGGACTTTAATTTGTCTTAATGAAACTCACAGCAGTAAAGCGCCAAGCGCCCCCGCGGCGTAGTTACCACATACCAAGCGCTCGCCCTCGGTAAGCGAACTCGCGCCTCAGCCTTGCCGGGCCCGCCCAAACCGGGAAGAGACGTTCGCGTGTTATAGCGTAGCATGTGTGGCACCAGGAAAACTCCGGTCTCTGGGTCCGGGTTTTCGTGGGTTAGCCCTCTCCCCCCCGCCCCCGCCCTCAACTAAAAATTAACTAGCAGTTTTTAAAAAAAAATTATTATTTTTTTAAAAAAAAACCACCACCGGGAAAAGGAAGATTGATGGAGGATAAAAAGTTGGTGCACGGTCGTAGAACTGAGCAGAAAAACGGGAGGGGGGGGGGGGCTGTCAATGATTGCGCTCTCCATGGAGACCCGAGGACCAATGAGAAGGGCAGAAGCTGTTTATAGAGGCGGAGCGTCTCCATGGCATCCAGAGAAGCCTTCTGGAGCAGCTACTTATTGACAGTCATTCTGTTGCTTACAAATCACAGTACCTTTGGGATAAAAGGGCTCTGGCAGCCTTAATAATTTATCCGACGGGAGAACAGTAGAAACCCCCCTCTCCCCCTCCCCCTTTTCTTCGTTACCCCACCGAAGAGCCCCCGTTTAGCTGTAAACCTTTTGGCAGCGGTGGGGTTTCTTCATAGGAGCAGGTAAGATGACGGGATTATTTATTCATTAGGCTGGCTAAGAAGAGGGACGTTTAGGTTTCTTACCTCCCATTATACTGGGGAAAGCCTTCTTTCTCCTTCCCATCAAATGGTGATCGTGAGTTCCCTGAATCAATTGCCATAGAGCAAAACCTTCATTTCAAGGGAGTGGAGGAGACATTATCTAAGGTAACGATCTTGGCCATGTATTTGGGATGGGGTTTCTATGTATTTAACACGAAGGTGTTTGGCATGGTTTTCCTTTCTTAGTTCTGGATACTGTACACCTAAATACAAGTATTTATCACTGTTATATGTGGTTGATTTTCCCAGTTTATGGTATGATGGTAACCTATATCAGCACCCCCTTATAATTGCCCAGAAAATTTATAAGAATGTACGCCAACTAAGGTGATCCAGTTTGTTTAAATTGTCTAACTTCGTGTCAAAAGTGGAAATAATTTTCAGACTGGTCAACCAAGGCTGAGGTTGATCGCATAATGTGATAATGTGAGGTACTTTCAGCAACAAAAAAACCCTTCCCCATTTGTACTGAATGTGTATGCCCAGGATAGGATTGGCAGTTGTAACCATTGTGAAAAAAAAATACAACCAGTACTTATTAATTTGGATGATGGAAGATATGATCATTCAGTTATTAGTATTATTGTAGTGCAGTCCAGGTCATATCTACTTAGAAATAGATATAACTGCATTTAATAGAGCTTATTCCCAGGTAAGTGTGTGTGTGTGTGTGTGTAAGATAGATAGATAGATAGATAGATAGATAGATAGATAGATAGATAGATAGATAGA